CGGGTGGGTGTGTGGTAAGCGGGTGAGTGGTAAGCGGGTGGGTGTGTGGTAAGCGGGTGGGTGTGTGGTAAGCGGGTGAGTGGTAAGCGGGTGGGTGTGTGGTAAGCGGCTGGGTAAGTGGTAAGCGGGTGGGTGTGTGGTAAGCTGATGAGTGGTAAGCGGGTGGGTGTTAGTAAGCGGGTGGGTGTGTATGTGAGTGGTGAGCAGCAGTGAGCAGGTAGGTGTGCATGTGGGTGGAAACACAGCGTAGGTTACGCTAATGTTTAGTAACAAACCTGACTTCAATCCTGAAAAATATGCTACCTTACCTTACAGGCGCAAGAGGTAGTTTCGGGGCGTTCTTTTCTTCTTCTTTTCACAGCACATTCACCTGCGTATAGGCATTTATGATCATCAATCTTCGACTGTGGCGTTTCATATCTTTTTGTCCTTTTACCCCGATCGGGTCATGCGCCGCAGGTGTGATATCAGCTCAAGCAAAAAGACACAATAATAATGCTTAGGTGTTTTTGAAAATGGTGTGTAAGGAGATATTTGTATCCAGTCCACTTATCAGTAAACTTTCTGGTTCAGTAATGATTGGGCAGTTTTGGTCTTCACAATCTTTTTCTGTGCAGTGTGTTGTCAAGATAACAAAAAGAGTATTCGAGTATCGCGTATGGAATTTTTCGTGAAGGACAGAGTTAGACAGAGATATATATTATATGCCTTGTCCTCATATATTATATTATTTCAAAATATACAATTTTGAATAGACTATGGGCCTGAGACATTTTGAAGTAAACAGCTATCACTTCTTAACCTAACATAGGGGTATCATTTGCGTTTTATCCTGAGGCAAAAATAACAGGATATTGACTAGAATGTAAAATTGCAATCATAAATACATTAGAACTGCACCAGTTGTTTTGAAAACATTTTGACTGGAGATAGAGCCTATGAAGTCTTGAGAGCAGAATCTGGCAGAAGCGGCGTCAAATATACAAATATGAGGGGGGAGGGGGTCAATGGGTGCGCGCGCGCGCGCGTGTGTGTACAGTATCAAAATATTGTATTGTATACGTTGCAGATAGAGTGCAGTATCTTTACCATTTTGTTACAGTAAAAGTAACAGTGTCATTTTCAACTTGTGCATCCAGAGCCTTCGGGCAAAACGGCTGTAAGGCAATAACAAATTTATGGAAGAAGGTGTATCAAGTGCATCATTTTATGTTATGCTGAGGATTATAGAAATATAATGATAAACTTGCGGATTTAGTGAGGAAATTTCCACAGATTTTAGATGTAACTTTCAGTACTACAGTAAAGGCGGTAAATAATCCCGAGAATTAGAGAAAATTTCAAAAATGTGAAAAGATGGTAAAATCAAGGGCTTTAAGAAACATTATTGTCATCGGTAAGGTTGATGTTAAAAAAATCCCTGATAAGTTTAAACGAAATTTTTCTTTTCAGGAATAACAAAATTCAGGATTGAAAACGATCAGTTCATATGGTTTACAAACAGCATAGAAGTATAAGCAATGAAATGTTGCTTGATTATGCTTTCCTGGTGATGGACGCTGTATAATGTTACCTACAATGTATGTGCAGTTTATGTATAGCCATTTAGGAATAGATTTAAGTGTATTCTGTATCGACATCAATCCCGTTAATATGGCTGGATCTAGATTGTTGTAGTGATTTTTACAAACAACTTTTGAAGATATGCGTTAGCCATAGCGAATGTAAAGATGCATCAATTTTATGGAATAATGTTAATATCAAATAAAATAATATACATTATTGTTTCCCTCCCTGGATAAAGAATTCCATTATTTTTGTGAGAGATGTAGTTAAAGAAAATAGGCCTTGTACATATGAAGAAAAATCATAGGTTGTGGGACGTAATAGTCTTACATTTATGGAATAGCAAGTTAAAAAAATTGTATGAATGATCAGTCAATGAAGAATTATGGTAAAGCAGAACAATATGAATTGACCTTGAAAGGGATAAAAATAAAGATATCACTTCCCGAGAAGTTAAAAAGTATCTTAAACAAATCAGAAGATATTATATTCCTCGACGAAAGGGTACCGTATACGTATGTAGTATGGAAAGGAATATTTTTAGAATTTAATCAATCTGTATATAGAGCAGTTCAGTGGAAATATTTGGCAAGGAATTTATCCCCCCCCCCCCCCCCAAAAAAAAAAAAAAAAATTAAAGACAAGAATTCAGAAGATGATGTCCGTAATTAAATATTGTCTTTTTGTGCAAGATAGTGTTTTATTTATTTATAGAATGCTCTAAAATAAAAAAATTGTGACAAACTAAGTAAAGGAGGAAACATAGGAAACTTTATTAAACGAAAGAGTTGTAGAAAAAGATAATGATTGTTACATGTATGTATATAATTCATCTGTATAAATATAAAGAAGAAAAAAGTATATCGAGCCGTTATTCGTTCAATATCATTCCTTATTTTAAATTAAAGGTATTTAAAATTGACCAAAAAAGTTAACTAAAAAAATTATGTTCGTCAAATATTGCTGATTTTCTCAGTATTTAGCTTTTTTACTATCTGACCAAACAAAGTTTATTCAAGATACATAAATGTGCAGTGTACATCTACATGAAAAACAACCATATGCAAATTTTTACAGTTGGGATTATAGTTCAAAATATTCATCTCAACAAAAGCAATGCCTCTGTTATCTTCTTATGCTATTGATTCCTTGTAACCTGTTTCTTTATGAGATCTGTCGTCATCTGCCACGATGAATATTGATGGATATTTCTTCAGCTTTTACAATGGCTCGCTCCTCCCTCTGGTTCTGAATGATGAACAGCATCGGGCCTGCACGTTTAGATTATTCTATATATCGACACCAATGCTTCAAACCGAAAAGAGCATGTCCTCGTTATTCTTATTTTATGCACAGGGGTTCTGATTTCTAAACCTGCTTCATTGAAACAACACAATCCAAGTCTTTTCAGCAGCCAATGAAAACAACCCTCTGTTTTCATTGGCTAATACCTTAGCCAATCAATAGAGTTCGACAATGACCAAAGTTTTATAGTAACGTTTTGTAAAGATAAACCCAATTTGTGGTAAATGCGCTGCTTCTCATCAGAGAGCAATGCTTCCTAGAATGAGCTAGCTACAGAACATCAGTGACATAAATCGCCAAAACGGGAACTCCAGGCTACGTTCTGTAAGGAAACAATTCTGTCAGAAATTGTGCGTAGCGTGTGTTGGAAAAAAAGTGAAAAACGTTCACATCATGCATTACTGCCGGTCAGCTGTCGTGGGATTACAATACATTTTTCTAGTGCACAATGGTAAGTGGTATGGGATTTGTGAATAGTCAGGGTTTAGTGCTTTTGCCACGTTATGCCTTTAGAGCCCATCATAATTCTATCAACTTCAAGCAAAGAGTGTGCGTTTGCCTCAGAACTTAGGTACAGTATGTGCGTCCATGAATACTTTAAAAGATTTTTTTTGCAATATTCTTTTGCCCATGTGTTATATTTGAATACAGCTTAGGAATATAACCGATAAGTGATCAGCATTCTTCTAAAAACTAAATGTCCAAAGGTATATGCATGTGTTATATACCATCATTTGAAAAGATTTTCATTTGCTCGTGTGCACACTCATCCGACTGTCACAGTCAGCAGTAGCATGGAGCGAATTTCTTCGCGCCAACCAAATTTTATATCGTAGTCTGTATAACATTAGTGATTGGGTTGGTAAACTTCAAATGAAGACAGCTGAAGTTCACGCGTGGCAAGTAAGCGTTTATGGACATTTGAAAGCAGAGAAACTAGACAGCGTCGTCTTTGAAACTATGTACGGTAAAATCCGGAATAACATCTGAAGTCACGGACTCGTATTCAGTAATTTGAACAGGTGCCCGAACATTTTGTCAGATATAACCAAGATTTGTACTGCACTGCATAGTTATCAGTCTAAAAATATTTAGATTTTTTCCACGAATGATCATTGACCGAGAATGTACCTTAGTTTTTCTTATGAAGGGGAAAATCGCCGTAAAATTTTACAAATGCTCTCATCTAGCTATGCCATAATTCTACGATTGATGAGACTGACAGACAAAAAAGGTAGAAGTGTCTTATGATAGACCCACTTCCTGTATGGAGGCGAAATTTAGGCATAATACACATTTGCATGTGGCTTAGAATCAGTCCTAAAAAAAAACTGCGTCTTTTACGCAGAACACTGTATATTATACTATACTGCCTTGTAATGGATTCGTCGCATTGGTTACCTCGGTGTTACATCAATCTTTGCTATCCCTTCCATTCGGTAACAAATGTGTCTAGCGCTCAGTAGACCACTTTGTGGTGTCCCCAGCTCATGAAGGAGAGCATGGTTACACTGGGAACCGAAAGAAACCTCCAGGTATTGCCTAGTTTGGACTGGGCTGACCCGTCTGAAGCTTTTCTCTGGGCGCGTATCAGGTAAAAAATAGAGAAATGTGATTTTATCGACACTAAATTAAAGCAAAAAGAAAGATGGTTTAACGACATTGAGGAATATAATTCATAGTAAATACAAACAATAGGGACAGTAGAAATATGAGACCGTGAAAGAGCGCACAGCCGACTGATATCGTATTGCTAAATGAGTGACAGCTATTTTCACAAAACCATGTCCAAATATCTCAATGTCTCCTGGGGTTGAACTGGTAGGGAAACGGAGCAAGTCAGAAAAGACAATCAGAATATAGATGGCATTCATTCGATTCGCTCCACGTCGCTACCGCCCCTAAGACGTGGGGTTAGATATGGAAAACAGCCGAGTCAATACCAGTTAATGAGAGGTTGGTCTTCGGGGACATCTTTGGTTCAATTAATGCAATTTAAGATTTAGACGCCGCTCTGACGTTCAGGCCAGGAATGCATAAGAATGGGAGTGCACCATTGTCAAAACCTTGTCTTTCCTCTTCAAAACAGGTTCATATTTAAAATACTTTAAGAAATGAGAAAAAAGAAAAGTGCATGAAGTCATAAGAGACATGATGCAAGAATAGTGTCTGGAGCAAACAGGTCAAATTTAAAATTAAAATTTAATCTTCAGTTGAAGCACACCCTGTCTAAATGAATTTGAACCGTGAATCCGCCGCTCACAGGGATCTAAACAGCAGCACCGATACATGTACAAAGGACAAATAACATTCAAACTTAGCGCGACTTTTTCACCTTTTAATTGAGTATTGAATTATCTCTGCGACTTCAAATAAACATTTTTACAAACTATACATACATTTGATGTGGAAAGTTAGAGATGAAAAGGAAGGTTTTCTGTTTACTTTCTTATTATTAAAGCAAACATTTCTCAGACATAACAGTGTACAGGCGTGGTAAATTCTACATTGTAACTGCTGTGACAACTCTAATATGATTAAAATCACATTCGTATTCTATGCAATAAAAGAATATGAGTTACCAGAACCTAAATAGGACAGGCAATTGTATTAACAAGAGCTCTAGTTCAATCACATTATTAAATCGATCAGTTATAGAATATCGGCACACGCATGTCACACTTAGTGACACACACCCTGTATTGACCTTGGAAAAAAGTCAACACTGAGGTCATTCTTGTCAGTCAGAGATGATGAATACACATACTGTGGCAGAAAGCAACCCTTCCTTGCTCACAAAGCACTTAACATTAGATTACTTTGATTTATTTAGCTTTGATCTCTATGAAGTGTCACAAGAGACAAACATCTTAGTTATAAAGAAATAACAAAATAAGAAAACGAGATCAAACTTATGTCAGGCCATGTTGATATCTGTGTTGACACTCGGTAATGCCAACTTTATCAATTATAAATATGCAAATTAACCTAAACTTTGAGTGCATCGGCTGACCACTGTACGAAATACAAGCCCAATTTTCCACGCAAAATGTGTCAAAAAAAAAAAAAAAAAAAAAAAAAAAAAAAATATATATATATATATATATATATATATATATATATATATATATATATATATATATATATATATATATATATAAACCCATAGTCATGTTTTAGGTATGTTAAAGTATAAAGTATAATGGACGTGAATATATCAAAAAGGAATCTCTAAAACCAAAATGCTGTCAAAGTTTTGATAGACCATCCCATTACAAATGTGGATTGTAGTGATGTTACAGTATAATTAGGAGCCAAAACAAGTAGGGAAATACACAGTGTTACTCACATAGGGAATGGGTAAAATTCCAGACGTGTCCACTATATCTCACGTACTCAAGACCTAAAATTTGACGTCTATTGAAGAGCAATCTGGCTGAAAATTATCAAATCGGTTTAAACTGGTGGCTACCAAATGTAAGAGCACTCTGGGCATAGAGTACCACAAAGAAAAATGTACTCATAAAATCATAAACCTAGTTTACTGAACATACATACATATAGCCTACACGTATGTACTTTTTTACTGTTATGGAGTTTAATGTCTTGATTTTCAAATACTATTCAAATATTGTATTTTGAAAGGCAAGACACCAGTTAATTCGTCAACCCCGTCATCTACAGCTCCATCCTTCTTTTATGAAAAGGAAATCACAGATATACAACCTTCAGTGTACGACCTGCGAATATGCCTTAATGCGTAGGCTACTAAGATGGAAGACCAAATAAAAATGGAACATATGAAGTGCACCTCTTACCGCAGTCTTTAATAATGCAGGAACATCGCGGACATTATGAAAGAAGAGTGCATTAGTAGGAACTATATCCTCCTTAGTCCTTCACGTAACCTGGTTAGCATTTGAGCCTAGGACATCTAATGACGATGGATATTGCAAAAAAGATATTACTCTTTCCCATAAAATACAATAAATACATTTGATAAAATATAATAAAAGTAATAAGCCACGAGATAGTACATTCAAATAAAATTTTAGGGGTTTTACGCTTTGCTAAAAGGAAGTGAAAGCGTTTGAAGTTCTATTAGCCATTTTGCCAAGAGAATGAATCGCAACAAAGCATTTCCCAGTACGGTCACATCTAGACATAAAGTTCCATTTGCTTAAAACAATAGATAACAAGTAAGCGGCTTTAATGTACATCTACTGTCAGTATTGTGCCCGGAATCCAATAAATACAGATGGCTGGGCACAGCAGAAAGCTCCCCCATTGGCATGTAAGTTTTATTCCCAGTTAAGTATCCTATCTAGCATATCGCAAGTAATGCGGCGCATTGTAATCATTGCACACTTAGTACCAAATCAATCAAAGGAAGTATTCCGTCGAGGCCCCGTGCCGCATGCTAGTGAGATCGATGCGTAAATCTAAACCATCGAATGTAACGTTTCCCGAATAGAAATCTAACGAACATGTGATATGTGTTATATATGTAAATGTGTATATGTGCATGCGTTTGTCCGCGTGCTCGCGCGCGCGCGTCTTTCACAGTATTCCCTGATTGTACCCTCTCTGAACACACACCGTCTCCTAGGATGCCATTTATAGTCTACCGAAGACAAGTACTATTACATTTTACATGTACCTGGTTCTTCTGTACTTCTTATAAATGGAATTTACAGTTTATACGATAAGCAGCTTCTTGTTCATCGTGCTTTACTTTGAAGATGATTTTTAGTAAATTTATATAGTTTAACTCAAGTATGCTTGTTTATCCAGTGGATGAAAAAAAAAAACGCCTAGAGCTTTTAATTTAATTAATCAAAACCTCTTAGCAATACCTCAGGTTCTATATGGCACAGAAATGCTTTCACTCTATTCCAATAGCCTGGCGGTATTCATGACATAATAGTTTATTCAAACGTCCTCTATTTCTCTGTTTCAGCCATGGCTTCATCATCCTGGTGGGGCTGGTGGACATATGAGGGGATATCAGGCAAGTGGAACGTGATTAATGAAATATACCAATTAACGGCCATATGGCTAATTATTGGCGCAAAATAGCTTTTACTCTATATATTTAGTGTAAATGTTTTCAGTGTGAGATGGATATGTTGCATAATGTTTAGCAATAACAAAAAAGATTCATTTTACTTTGTCGGTTTACTCTTCCCTTTGTGTACTCTACGTAGTTTTAACTATCACTTTCCTCGGGTTTCCATCGTTATCCTGTTGTTAATAAAGCAAGTTGACAACCATGGGATTGGTATATTATATCTGTGGTCGCTCCACTGAACCGATGTTATTTTTTACTGCTAAGTGTGTGTGTTGTGGAAATGGTTAAATAAATTTTCACGAAGAAGTATGGGCCAAATACGGACTTTTTTTACCCTGTACGCAAAATGCTATATACAGTATATATCATAATAACGTGAGATTTGTAGTCTGAAGTTTCAGGTGTGATGCAGTTCTGTTTCTTGTTTCTTGTTTCTGTTTCCTGTTTCTTGTTTCTTGTTTTGGGTAGGAAAAACTTAATCCTTGCATGCGGTCGCATGAAAACCAAAAATAGAGCTTAAAAAATGTTACATGTTTAATCATCCCGTCATGTTTGCAGAATTATCTGGAGTGCCATAAGTAAATAAATGTCTTGACATTTGTAGCTACCTCAGAGTATTCGGACGACCTTTATTTTTTATCTCAGTGTGAGTGCGTGGTGAAGATGGAGACAGATTACTTTTATTTGTATTTTCTTGGTTACTGAGTTGGGCAAAAGATGGGATTCTTTTGAAAATCAGCACATTATTTTACGGCTGTTACTGATTTTTCTGTTTTTAAATGTATTTTGGCAATTTTCGTCTCATACGTGCGTAAAGTGCTTCTTTTTATGTCGAATTTTCTGAGTGCTTTTTAGTGAAAAGGAAAGTTCTGTCAAAAATCGACAAAGTCGGATTGTTTTTTCGAAAGTTATTTGGTATTTTTACAGGTGTTTTGGCGATGTAAGTCCCAAAAGTTTTTTGATGAAAAGGCAAATTGAGTTCGAATATCAACGGTTGATATTCATAAAATTATGGTACGTTTTGTGGTGTTTTCTAATCGCGTTGCCAATTTTTTTCTTTATCCCAATATGTTGTTTTATTTAATGGGATGTGATATGATGGAATCGTATCTTATATAGGCCACTGGAAAACATTTACCAATTTTGTGACTTTTTAAATATTGTGATGACAGCATATTTATGAATTGTAATTTCAAATAAAGAAAAAAGACCTGAACCTGTGCATTTAGTTCAGATTGAGAGTGTAAATAGAAAGTTCAGTGTAAAAGAAGCAGTCATGTTTTTGAAGGCAAGTATACACTGTCCATAAGGCTCTATTCCCATAGATTTTAGATCGATCTATCCCCGCGGGGAGTCTCACTAGATTACTTTCAGATAATCCGACTTAAATGTCCGTCCAGCCTACTACAAGCTGTAAGGGGGTAATTAACTTTCGTGTCCGTCCGGCTGACAGCTATTTAGCGTGAACCCCCAGGGAGTTAGGTCGATCTAAAGTAGGTCGGTCTAATCTATGGAAATGGGGTGTAAGATAGTCCCCACTGTTAACACTGATAACTTCAATAAATAAATAAATAAATAAATAAATAAAAGGCGTGTAATGGAATGGGTCTGTTTGTGTTAAAATGAAGTAACTGGGATGTTTCTTTATGCAAAGTGTCTGTATATTTGCCAGCTTCGCTGTTTAGTTGACATAAAGAATGGAATGCGTCTCCATTACAAAAAGTGACTAGAAATTAAAGAGTAAAATCTCAAATACAAGTTTAAAGATCGTAATGCTGTCAATGTTCTTTGATTTGCTGTGCCTTGGTGATTAAGCGAAGAGTCGAAATTGGTAGAAAAACATTTTGCACTATAAAAGGTATATACTTTTACTATTTTTTCCACGCAGCTCTCCTCGCATTTCCATATCGCGGCAAGTAAAGTTACAATTTGTCAGCATGACTTCATTATTTTAAAAGTATCCGACTTGCCTCCAGGATATAGGCCCTAGGTATTGGCAACCCACAGAGAATAAGAAGATTTAAGACAACAGAAAACCCGTGTACGGTATTTTTAATTGATTCTCTCCCTTAATAAATCATCCGAATGTCATGTCGCGTTATTTTTGGTACTCGAGGCATCGTGGATTGCAATCTACATTACACGCTGTACACTATGTTGTGTTACTAAAGTGAAGGCCGTATTTACCATAGTTTACATAACCGCACAAGCTGCACCGTTCCTCAGTGGAATATGAATAAATGTTGGTAAAATGTATTCTTTACGCACCCATGTTAGTCACGCATACATGTATCAGTCCACGCCGCCCCACTGTTATAACGTGTCCACACAATTGAGTGAGACATGCAAACAGTGGATAAAAAGACAATCGTGTATAGGGAAATGATCCTTTCATCCAGCATCCAGAAAATCATTGGAGCAAACACTTATAGATAAGGCGTGTACGGTGACACAGATCACTCTCTCCAGAACAAATACGATGGCCGGAAACTAAGATGATATGGATCTAGCTTTGTCGCAATTGGAACAATCAGACACAGGGTAAACAGTCTGGGTGGAAAGACTGCCCGCGAAGAGCGGCTCCTCGGAAAAAGAAAGGAAAGTGACGAGCGCGGAAGCCAATGTGTTCGTTACCAAAGACGACCGGAAAAAATAAAAGCACTGAAACAAATGACCGACTCGTGTGGCTAATCTGTTTTTGTTAACGATCATTAGTTGCACCAGAGAGAGAGAGAGAGAGAGAGAGAGAGAGAGAGAGAGAGAGAGAGAGAGAGAGAGAGAGAGAGAAAGAAAGAGAGAATATTGTTATAACCACAATGAATAATACCATCAAATTGTTCTTTCTTAATTTTCTGAGAATTAGATGTGCGGTCTGCCAGTTTAAAAAAGAGGACAATTACTAAAGGCAAAAACATCTAAAAAAACAACGAAACATCGAGATCACATTCTGCAGCTAATTATTCATCTATTGTAGTCTCATTTCACATATAATTGGTCAAGCTTTTCATTAATTTTAAACACGCAAGGGTCATTTCCTCCAAACACGAGCTGAAAAGATATTGAATACATAGTCTGGATAAAGCTTATACGGCATCATAATACCTCTCCCATTCCATAAGCGACTCGTATACCCGTGTAATGTGAAGAAATCGTATTAAGTTGAAGCATCTGTCGGGTCCCTGTACTAGTACACGCGCCGAGATCAATAGCATAATGTTGCCGCTACTTATCTGCGATGATCCCCGATGCTGTCGCCTGCTGTCTACTCCGTGAAACTTTTCCAAGAACCAGTTTATATTTATTTGTCCTCCAGTGAATTGTATATTTTGATTTCTTGAATGCTTTATACACTGCAGTTCCTATGGGCGAATTCTATTTTAAATATTGAATCAGTACTTAACCGAACAGTTTCAAATGCAGCCATATAGTATATTGGGTCTTAGCATGTACCAATGATTTGTCGAGAGTCAGGCTGACATTCATTGACACTAAATGACATTCAATGAGAGACCATTAAAGGATTTCGCGGTCTTCCTTTTATGTAGGTCTGCCATATTTAGGTCTCGGCCTTGGTAGACCTCGGCTCTTCTCCATGTGAATGATCCCTAATCTAGCTTTATTTACACGGTCTGCAGGCACTTTCGTGTAGCTCAATATGACTTGCTTTTATCTGTAGCCTTGACAATTAGCATCATCCGAGATTACCCAAAGTCTCGCGAATTACAGTCAAACAGCGAGATTTGGAGGAGAGTAGGGTTAAAAATAATGGCCGACTAGCGACTACGGAGCGACAACGAATAAAAACTGTCAAATTTATCCGTGGATATTTTGTAGTTGTTTTCTCACAGGTTCTATTGAATGACGGTTTTTGGTACAACTGTATGAAAACATCTCGTTTTACGTTAACTTTTGTAGGCCCCTATTGCTTTCTATGACTACATTCTTAATTTCATTTTTATCGCTTAAAAATTGGCCACTCCACGCGGATTCCCGAGCCTTTTCTAGTCTCGCAGCATGACGTCACGCACCGTCGCCGGTTTTTTGTAGGATAATTTGATGATGTCCATTGCCAGTGATTGTGGTTTTTGGTTACCTCGCTCATAATCAGTCACGTCTATACGTTATGTATAATGTAAGATTCTAGCAGAATAAAAATTTATCTCTATATTACTTTTTATATTGATTCTAAATATATGGTCAATATGAAAAAATAATCCTGCAATCTTGACAATTTTTAAAAGTCCTATTCGATATGAAACATATGTTCTGAAACATATTTTACAAAAATCGACCAAAGCAAAACTGTTTCTTTTCGAAAATATAATGCATAACGCTCAAGCATAAAGGCAACAGTGTCGAATAGTTTTTGCTCACGTATATGATAGGCTGCCATTTCCATTTGCGTGTGCCACAGCCGCAGCTGCAGCCGTTTCCCGGTATATGTTCACATTTGCCCTTCAAGTGAAGAACCTGAGTGGGTTTTATGTCAGTGCCATTCACAGCGAGGCATACCATGTTATCACTGATGTGTACTTCTAAAGTGACAAAAAAAAAAAAAAAAAAAAAAAAAAAAAAAAAAAAAAAAAAAAGAGAGAGAGTGCAAATGTTGTTTGTCAGATCATTTGTCATGGTATGTATTTTACAGATCTTGCATTCAAATGCTGCTTGATCACCAGCCACAAATGCGGATCGCAATGTCACCCAGTCAGTTTTTTTTATTTCTAAAAGTCGCATTAGACACAAAAAGGATCCTGCAGCACTAGCAAATGCATCATCGTGTCACTTTATCAGTTTCACTGAACAGTACAAATGTCTGCTGTCGAATTCCAAAAAGGCATCATTCTATTCACGTATCTTAAAGATATTATCACAGAGGCCCGATCGATGTCGAGGGCGATGATTATGGTGATTAACGATATTAATGAATGATTAGAAGTATGTTGTACGCTAGGTGGATGGCTCCTAGAATTAATCAGTTTCTGCACAAACTGGTTGATGCTATATTTTACTTTTCCCATGTTTCCGTTAATCAAATTTCACTTTTCCCATTAGCTGGCCAACTCCAATCATATCTTACAAAAATACCACTAATGACAGCTTGGATTACTAATATGAGCAAAGAATGTTGCCAGCCGGTAAAGTCCTTGCATAGACCTCTGAGAGGGATGTGGACATATATGTATGTCGCCCTGTATATAAGGATATCAAGTTCTACTAAATAAAACAAATACTTTTCCCAACCTTCAATTCTCATCTTGACTTTGCTAACCTCACAGCAACCAGGCATTTTATGTTGCAGGTAAAAAACGTACATGTTGCGTGTCGTGACCGGACCTTCAGCGAAAGAACAATCCATTCTTTGGCAGGTCTACGTTTCAAGTTGCCAGAAGACACGCATATTTCCTATTTAATTTAGCATCTATCGGCAACGTGACCGCACATATTCACGTACCTGGCGGTAGCTGAGCCAGACTTTGAAATAAAGAGCAATGTCTGAGGTGCATCTGTTCACTGCTAATTTGGCTGTGTGATCTGCAATGAACAATCAATACTATTTCCATTATCTTTGTTTGTTTTTAAGGTATCTTATCTTAACCATCTTACCACATAACAAGATATGATAAAAGTGATCTATCGATTCGATAATGACATTTATGCTGACTCGCGTAGTGCCCATAGCCATTATATCTCCGTCCCAACGATAGACAGCATTTTCATTATCTTGTTCCTTCAAATCAGTATTAAACTTTTCAACATAATCTTTCCACGCATTGGCAACCAAACGCTGTTTTATAATTTGGCCAAACCATTGTATGGTATCTTATGACCTTTTCAGATATTGAAACCACCTTTATAGGTTTGGCCTTAGATCAACTAATTCATTGTTTTCGACCTAAAAGTGATCTTGAAAATTAATCTATCACTAGCAAGTCATCGTCAGTTCCGGACTGATAAGTTTATTACCAAACATCGAGCCACGTTATATTGTTTCTGTCTGCTGTTTCTGCTGGTCATAGCAGTTTAAGGAGTGACCTTATCCGCAGTGCTAACATCGGGATAAGGCTAGGCATTTACGACACAAGCCACCGAGACCTGGGCATGTTACCAAATCCAAATAGTCGTGGTTTCCACGCGCCTATAAATGTCATCTATCAAGCGTCCGTCAATTGACAAGTGTCATTCAAATGATAACGATATGACACTGTCACTTCCTTTATTTGTACTTCAAATGGGTAGCAACGCAACACAAATTGAACATTGATTAAAAACACAAACGGGTAAACAAATTTCAGGATGATAATACAGATAAGAAAGTTACAGTTGACACACAATGAAAAGATGAAGACCATCTCTTTTGTGATCTATCACATGCGTGTTCTCTGGAAACAAGACAACATTCTTCTTTTTTTCACAGAACAACCTTTAAGTGTTGGTTTCAGTGACAGACCATGTTAAAATTACCACGTTGACCTTACTCCTGGGAACGCCTATGGACTACCTGCCTGCGTGCTGATATTATTATTACCGCTTTTTGTATGTGTGATGCCCTATTCATTCTGAAATGTCACGTAATGGAATATACATGTAAAAAATTACTTGGCAATGTTTCTTGCGTATCAAACCAAAATGTCCGATAGATACCTGTTTTTTCCCCATAACATTATGGTCAATGTGGAAAATTGAAAGTCATTGCGACGATTATACATGTACTTATTGGAGTACTTTAATGACCTTCTTTATACTCTTCACACATGGTGATACGTTAAAGGGATAACAGCTATTCTTCTGAGATTCATATTTCACAATAAATGCAAATAAATTATAAACAACACAGAAATATAATAAATTCCATTTTACCGCCAAAACAGCGGTTATCGCCATTCTGGAATCTGTGTTTGCCAACAGACCGCGTAGACCTTCATAGATGGCTATACCTCCGTAATAATCTCTTAAGAATTTATAACAGAAACAAAACTTTTAAGGAAAAAATCATGAACTAACTTTGATTTCAGAATTAATTCATTAACCCTTGGTAAGTAAAGGAAATCGGCGTTTTCCCCAGGAAAGTCCCTTTTTGGCCGAAACGAACAGTTGTTATCCCTATATTTCATACCATCGACAGTGATCACATACGCAGAAAATAACTACAACAAATTTATGTTGCAATCGCCTTACAAAGCAAGCAAGAAACTATCTTGATTAATCGAAAAGAAAAAATGAATTAATCGGCATCCTTTTTTGAAAGTGTCTATTTTAACGGGTGTCCCTTTGATTCGGAAATACACGTGTATATTACCAATCAATGCATTTCAAGATGTCAGTATTACATGATATCGATATATTTTGCATGAAATATTATTTAATCTACGTGAAAGTTGTTCTGATATGTCACGATAACAAAAATAATTGCTTTTTAGCGGATTTTTATACTATATACCAGTTTGATGGAATGGAATGGAATTTGAAACTGTGGAGATATATTCAACTCTTAAGGTGTCCTGTTTCCTCATTCCAGGGCCAGATTATTGGGGTTTAGCTTACCGAGAGTGGTACATTTGCAGCAAGGGAAAGCACCAATCGCCTATAAACATCGAGCCGAAGACGTTATTGTTTGATCCTAACCTCAAACACATCCACATAGATAAGCACAGGGTGAGTGAGCTTGTTTTCATCTGTTCAAAATTCTAATATACATATGGAAACATAAATATTGGTTGCTTTATCACTGTCTTCTGTTAGACGCTTGAAACTAAAATGAAAGTGTTCAGGTTCAGGGAACGCGAGTGCATTTAAGCCGATTGAACGTGCACGCACGCCCTAATACATGTGTCGTGCATTTATTAGTGCAGTTGTCATAATCTGCTATTGTGAACTATTTCATGTCATTCTCATATAAAGTAAATTTGCAAACGGAAAAAAAACACATCTTAGTTCGAAGATGGAAGAGAAATGTTTCTAAAGACGAGTTTTATTTGTATATTCTATTCAGTATATCTCTGCTCGAAAAAGGAAGAGAAACGTTCCTAAAGACGAGTTTTATGTGCATTTCTATTCAGTGGCACCGTGTTGAGGACCAGATCAATGCGTCTCATCTGGAGAGCTTCTTTCAGTGTTTAGTTATTAATACAATCCAATTCATTAAAGCAGGCAATCCATATGCGCTCCTGGGTGTGTACAGCTTCACTCTGTACAGCCGCCAGATAGACAAGTTTACTTCTCCGTAAATATTTGCAGAAGACTAACATGAAGTTTGGTAAAAGTTCGATAACTAATAACCAATAATACTAAGTGCTGGTCTTTGGAACGTTTTGTTTTGGGTTCTTTTTTTGTTTTCAAAATGGTGCGCAACTGTAATAGAGTGTACTTTCATTCGTGATATTAGAATTTTGGTAACCAAACAAACTGGAGAAAATATGAAAATTTAAGAGAATAGATGTGCGGTTTGAGAGGCCGAACCATACGCGGCCGCCAAATGGGTCTATCATTTCCCATCGCTCGGCAGCCCTTAAGCTGCGAGCTTTCAGATACTTTAGCAATCAATGAACAAAACTTAAACAAGGTGTCATCGTCCGCAGAAATGGGATAGGCAACAGTGCGCGCACTTAGGATGGCAATTGAATTAGACCTGCGGCAGTATTAAAAGAATGTTTCATATCTTGTCAATTATCCACTGTACGACCACTTAGCCGCAGGCAGATAGACAAGGGACAGCCCGCTCAGTGAGCCAACTTATTGGTCAACCCTGCTCTCTGACCACAGGGTCCCTTAGTAGTCTGTTACAAAATCATCGTATACTAATTTCGAAGCCCCTGATACCAGGTGGTACATGTAGGTCAACCTCAGACTACTTCGAGTAAGTGTGTATGTGGACGACCGTTTATGTTCCAACCATATGAAAACCACCGTCATCTATTTTGGAACGGACCAGTTCCCTATACTCCCCTTCTCTATTGTTCCTTGCAACATATTGCAACATATTTTGAGTTTATACATTCAGAATAAATTCTCTTTACTTCCAGGGTTTCTAGTATCTTTTTTAATTACTAGTCTCTCTATGGATTTTCTGAGAATTCCTTGGAATTAACCGCGAATCAATAATAATGATTACAGTATTCAGTACGAAGTTTTGGGGCAGCAGTCTTCTAAAGAGATGTCAACAATGAGAGGGAAATTGAAAGGCTGTCAAATTGGAGTAGATTAAAAGGGGAGCGGATTTAGTCAACTCAATATAATCTCCAGATTCACGTTATCTTGAGATATTCTGTTGATAATAACGGTATTCTGGAAACATGCACCCGACACAGAACAACTGGCAGATTGGAGAAGTTAAATGTACTAAAAAACACTTGCCTGTTCGTGATATTTTAGTGCTTTTTTATTTGCAAGTATTTTAACATCATTAGTTTTTCTTGGAAAGGATGGGGAACGGTTTCTTGGAAGGAAAGGGGTAATGTTTCAGTTTCACGGCATTCCACGTCAAGTAAGCTGTATATCTGTAGAACCTGGGATCTAACCACAGTCGGCACTTTTCTCAATTCATTCAGGAAATTACTTTCACGTACTGTAAAGGTCTCGAATAATCACATGTAAACACTAATTTCCATTAATAAACGCACAGGTCATGGTTAGGAACATATAAGGATTGATCATCGGAAATTACTTAAAATGGACAGGCATAGACAAATAGTCCTGATTGCAGTTTAGCATACAATCTGTCGACATTAATTGGCCATAACAATGCCCAATATTACCCTAAATTGACTTTCAGATGAATAATAAATATGTGTACCAGTCCCATAAAACTCCTTACACGCCAAGTGATTATAACATTTGTTCACTTGTTATTCGAATACAATTTGGTTGATGACTGTATTGCGTTACGGCGCCTAATCAGTACATTGAATGAACGAGCGTATGCGATGAAACTGGAACAATTGATTATTTTTAGTATTTTCCTATCTTTTTATCAGTCTAAAATAGCAATATATCTAAGGCACAGTCTAAGTGCGTTTTTCTAGATTAAAATGTATTCTAATCACAACAATCCAAATGAACTATATTAAGTAACAGGTTAACGGCTATTTCAATCTGTTTAATATTACTGCCATTCAACAGGTCCACTGCTGCTATCGAATATAACTGCAAGTAAGAGGACTTATACTGCTATCATTTGGTATCTATCACTTACATTATAAATATTGAAAATCAATACGTAAGACTTAACGAACCCTACAGATTTCTACAGTGACGATGTTATGCGCCAGTCTTGCCTAGTTGATTTCACATCGCAAGGTTCACAGACTACCTGGGTCCCGTAACTCGATAGCATCGCGCATTGCGACCGAGCGCAAATGTCTCGATTCCATAATTCGCCCATACTCGCCTCATATAATACATTGTAGTCTCTATGTGATATCGCTATTCGCAAAACGCGATGCTTTCGAGTTACGGGGCTTTGGACAACATGCTGTTAACAGAACGATACCCTCACCACATCAACGCGCAGTCAATACCATCTATCTTGATGCAGAAAATGCAAACAACTCTAAAAGACTTCATATTGTCATGAATATACAACGAAGAGAGAAATCCAATCGCTCACTGTCTGCTTAAATTGCCACTTCCCAATAGCTTTATTGTCCCTCTTTTCTGAAGTGACTGCTCATCGCCGCCCATGAGTCTGAGGTCCAGGTAGATGAACTATCGATGACCAATTTAAATGTTAAAACAGGTGTTCATGCCAGCCTGTAAGACCACGATATTAATAAAGAGTGCACCCTCATGTCCATGGCTTTTTTGACAGATAAGAAGTTAATACTGCTTCAAAAAGAGCAAGTTTCAGTTGAAAAAAAGATTAGTGAACAGAACTGTTAAGTTATAGTGTCACCATTTCATTTCTATGGCTACATACTGTACAAGTATGAGAAGCAACCCGAGGAGTTCACAGAGAAGTGCGTTAGTGCATCATTAAACCAATATGAATATACATCATAAATCACTTTGACATGTGCTGTATGTTTGATGCCTTCACATTAAAAAGATATCATAAATTTATGACAGAAAGTTAAGAATAGATATGGAAAATGCAGAATTTCTATAGGTACGAAGAAGGGTAAAATATTGTAAAACGGTTGCTCTTTTTAAAATGGCAAGTGTTGCATCAAGAAATCATCAGTATGGTGGTTGAAAAGGGCAGGTCACTCTTCCAACTGGTCACTATCTACCGACCATGGTGTCTGCGAGCCATCAGCTGGAGTGATGCAGCAACATGTATTACACTCGGTTCAATTGAAATCAGTTTTAGGCGATTTTCCTTTTTTAATTCAGGTCCACGGTTATTTGACCAATACTGGCCACGACGTGACGTTCTACGTTGACCAGAGCTCCAGCCCTAAAATTATCAACATCACCGGCGGCCCGTTCTCCTACACATACAGGGTGACAGAAATCCACTTACACTTCGGCAGCATAGACAACTGGGGATCCGAACATTCCGTCGATGGCTATAAATACCCGGCAGAAGTATGAAGATGTATTTTGTATAATTAGCTCCGCCAAGGAGGTTATGTTTTCACCCCTGTTTGTCTGTTTGTTTGTCTGTCATCAATATAACTAAAACAGTAATGGACCAATTTTGATGAAATTTTCAGGAACTGTCAGTAGTGGGCCAAGGAAGAGATGATTAGTTTTTGGTGGTGATCCGGATCAATAATCAATCAATAATCAATAATAATCAAAAATTGCTGCCTTGGCGGAGGTCTGCGCTCTCGAAGTGCTTTTCTAGTTTAGAGATATATTCGAAGTCATATTTTTGAAACGCATTAAGAGACCTAAACATGTGCACCTTATGTTAAAAACAACGTTAACGTTGCAAAGATACGTTTGTTAAGTATTCAAAACCTTATGTAATGAAATATAAAGACAAATTCATAATGAATCTCACCGTCAGCTACGGATGAAGACAGCTGTGATAAAAGGCAGTAATATTGCCCTGGAATACATGCTTTCAAATAAATTGCTCACGTACTTAGCCGATGAGAGCATTCTCTTGAAACTTAATACATTTTCTTTCAGATCCAGATTCTTGGCTATAACAGCGACTTATACAGCAACATGAGCGAAGCAGAGACGTCTCCTGCTGGATTAGCCATCGTGTCACTGCTAGCTAAAGTAAGTAGACCTACTTGGTATCAACTTGTTAAAACAATTAAGTTGAAAGTGGATTGAGTTTGAACAACATCCACAATCCTCCCTCGGTCCACGATGCCGTTTGTTTGAATTATTTACATTGCTTTTTCTATTCTGATATGCGTCGGCGATAATTGCCTTTAAAACCCATTTTGTACAAGGTTAGCTAGTGGCAAGTGCTCTTAAGAGGATGGTGATCAGTGTTTGTTCTCTTATCAATGTTTCATATTCTCCCGTACAACATCTACCCCAAATTAATGTGGCGCTGTACCAGAGCGCTTAACACCCACAGTTATATGGTGGAACAAGAAAAAGATACAAGATGCATCAAATATGTTAAAACGTACACTGAAAGAGAGTAAATGAAAAGGAATAATGAAATCTGCATGCACATGAATAAATTCTAGAACAACAGCATACAAATTTGCTGTAAAAACGATAATTAAAAGCGAGACATGGTGGCTAAAGAAGTGGGATTTTACAATGGAGTGGGATAATAAAAAAAACATATTTTAGATTGTTTTGAAAATGTCAAGGAGAATTGGAAAGCATCCACAGGAAAATGCGATCTTCTGCAACACTGACAGCGTCAAATAAGTATTAAAATACTTAGAAAAGCGTAGGGGTACCTAGTGTTTTGTAAAAAGTGAAAGTTATTACCATTAGAGACTGGCACGATATGGTGTTAAAAACAGGAGTAAATAAGACAAAGATTGGCGCCATTACTAGAAAGTTTGAAAGGGGCGTGAAAGTATAACTAGTGCGATGATCCACATAAGCTTGTATAAAGGGATTGTCGTCTCTGGGTGTTTTCTACCACATGCAGAACGCAGCTGGGAGGTACCCAGTATATCTATAAGTGTTGAATAAAACGAGAGTTTATAGTCTTATCGTGCCATTCAAAAAAAAAAAAAAAAAACCTACTTAATTCTGAAAAAACAATTCTGCACGGATAGTTTTGTAACGGGGGAATTCAAATGACGCAGAGTCGTGCGTGAGAGTAACCCAACTCCATGTAACTGTTCGCGGTAAGTAATGTAACATTTATTTAGCTGACATAGTTGTCATGACCAGGGCTGGGACGACACGGCAGGGTATTGTGAATGTCTTTTAAAATAGAGTCTTTATATATTGTTTAAAGAATGCCAAATCTTAGTTAATGGAATTGGGTTTCGGAAAGATGTGCACGATATGTATTGTCCTCACGAAAATGCCTCCACAAATGCAAGATGTTGTTGTCTGATAAAAGGCATCTCAAACAATTCGCCTGAAGTAATTTCGAATTTTCAAGAATAAACAAGATGCTCCAGGTAGCAGGTTAGATGTACTGTTGGTTACGCCACTGCTGGGTGGATCCTTATAGGGGGCTTCACTGAGGGTGAATAGATTTTGTGCCATCATGAAAATCTTTGCTGTGCGAGAACAATTTCTGTCCATCTTTAATGCATAACACCTACCAGATCATCACAGCGATATGGAGTTAATGCAGTATACGCATTCTGTCTTAAGAAATGAAGATGAGTCTTAGATGACGCCCTAGACGGCCCTTATCTACAGCCGCATACGAACCACTCGAATGATGAATGTAATTTCATAACCTAGTGATAAATTACCGAGAAGATAACCAAAGATATGGTATAATTGCCTCTGTTTCCTAGAAGATTACTATAATGTACATAATAACGTTAAGGGCCTTTACTTTGATGGTGATAACAAATCTTCAGCGCCGTGCTTGTGTTTCAAATATTTCAAGCCTAACGGCGAATTGGGCAATATTTTTACGGCTTGCTCACTTGAGAAAAGTAAACATGAAATATGGTCATTTTCAGGCAGTGCAATTAAGTCTCGTCTATATCTGGCAAAATCCTCACTTAAGCGTATATCTGTGTAAAATCGGTAGCCCTTTTCAAATAAACTACTTATTTCTCACAGGGACAGTGTTGCTGCATACATTTGGGGCATAAACAATGTCAAATATTCTAGCCAAAAAAGCAGAGTGAATTGGATGGCATTCCGACACTCGCCCGTTTATCACTTGCCTACTCCGAATGACCCATGATGGGTATGGTACATGTATAAAAATTTCTTTTAAATATTATGCAGAATGGCTTTGAATGATAAGAAGAGCTCACTTTTGAGATATTGCACCTCTTTATTTCAGTCAATCTAAATGAAACTTTTGTATGTAATTTCGGTACTTGTGTTGTTACAGCGTCGATAATTCCTTTTGGCAAAAACTTTGCAAAACGATTTTATATTCCAGAATTTAAAGTAGTGACGCAAGTAGATAAAGAAAGCCAAGATACGTAGAAAAACGGATTTTTTTAAAAGTCAAATACATCAAAATATACAGCAATGCGTTTGTTGCATGTAACTTCAGTAGTGAAGAAGAGGTGACAGAAGGCCTTCAAACAGACATTTATTGATAGAAATATTTTCCCTCTCTGTAAAAACACCCTTAGCCTACCGTGCGAACACCGGAAACGTCTCTGGCATGTAATTTGCCAAATATGAATCAATCAGGCAGTGGGTTTCGACAACTTCGGGTTCCTTATCTTTCAAAAGACATGACCACGTTTCCTTTGCTGATTAATGCGACGAAGCATCTAGTTCCAGTGAACGTTTTATCTTCAAAACCTATCAGGTAAACCAATGATTAATGTCACTAAAGATTTCTTTCATCTGGCTCTCTAGGGACGCAGCGAATTGTCTTAAAATCTAGTGAGCCTTAAACGGTCTCATTATTCCGTGTTTGCCATCTCTCTCGGGCTTTGAACAAAACGTATGTTGTTGTTCAGAAGCCATTAGAGAGAACGCCTGATCGTCTGCCGCTATAGTTCTTACTGTAGGAAAACATGCGATTCTACAAACTAATTTTGGATGGTAGTTTTGTGATATACCTCATGCCTTGCGATACCTTGGAATATGGATTAGTACTTTTAGGCTTTGGAACAGCAAATAATGTATCAATAACTAGTTGTGCTATATAAATATATTCACTTAACCGCCCAAAAGACCTTTTGTCTAATTTGTCAAAATAAAGATAACTTTCTAAGATATGATATGTCGCTACGTATTCATGGTCTAGAGTTTTATCTGCGTTTCAAAGGTTCCTATTCTTGTGGAGTATTTGCTACTGTAGCTTTTTAAAAGGTTTTCAATAATTGATCAAATTGTATCAATATTCGGTATATTCCAGGTGGACCGAACTGGCAACAAAGAGTTCGAGAAGTTGTTAAAGGACATCCGAGGCATAACGTACAAAGGTAGGTCAGACCAACTGCTGCTGGGACTGCACCGTTCGGTGCCGGTGGTGAAGATTTGCACGTACAGCCAAACTCGACAGTGATCACCCGGTTTGCTGATTAAAAACGGAGTGGATGCTAGAGGCACAACTGTAAAATGTCTGCAAAGTTGCAAACCTGTTGCAATTTAACTCTATTGCATTCACGGTGTTTCAGAGTTCAAACAGTACATACATTTTTAACTCTAGAGACTAGAAGACAACCCAAAACACTAGTAGATTATAAACCTGGCTTGTGAGGTTCCCCATGCTGATATTGTCTTAAAATATGCTTTTATTGTTTTCCCAAAAATGGATATAAGTATCAGGGGCGGATCCAGAGATATTTTCTGACAGTCTTCCAAATTATCTTTGTTGATACATCCACCATTTTTGACCGTCTTCTGACAGAAAAAATTAAATACCCGTCAATGTAAACTTGGAAATCTGACCGTCTTCCGGAAGACCCAGAAGACGGCCTAAATCCGCCCCTGAGTATTTCTTTTAACATGGTATGCGGCTGTAATATGTACAGTATATACATTTGCATGTGCACTTAATGTATATATGCAAGGTCTTGTTAGGTACATGTAGGAAATAACTTGTATGTACGTGGAAACATAACATTTAACAGTCGTTACTCATGAGAAATACTACGGCAAACTACCAACACGTGGCAGAGACGATGAAAAATGATACTTCAGTAATCTATACTCCACAGTGTCATCATGAGGTTGGTAATTACTAATGACAATATTTGTACGAGTCTCACTTAATTTTTAGATTCATCTTTCATATTATATTAATTGTACTTTATTACATTGTTATGACATTGGTCGATATTACTACCCTTAGCAAAGTATCAGGCCTGCCGCAAACTCTCGAAAATTTGCTGCAAATCTGCTACAAATTTGCAAGAACATAAGTATTTTCTTGCAAACTTACTGCAAACTTAAGATGTTCTTGCAAATTTGCTGCATATTTGCTAGAACATAAAGACTTTATTGCAGTCTGGCTGCAAAATTAAAATGTTCTTGCAAATTTGCAATATTGCAATATTGCAGCAAACTTTTCATTTTTCGGTCTGCAAATGGTAGTGGAATATTGTCATCTATGATGAGAAGATATAGGCCTACTCAGTGACGTAAAAACTATCAGTAACGAATAGTGAATTCTCATTTTCATAATTGTAAAATGCCGTTTTATATTCTTCACTATTTATGACATGATCTCTGCATGACGTTCTGTGAAATTTTCTCTAAATTATTGAAGTACACGCTATCTAGTCTCATTTAAATACCGTTAAGAGACAACGAACAGTTGTCTTCTGCATCATTATAACCCATGATGGCATTTTTTCATGCAAGCAACCTGGAAAGGGACTATATAACACATTTCTGAATGAAAATTCTATTTTCTCAGTTGATGAATAGAGTTTCTAGGATAATAAGTACTTTGAGGCGTGTGTAGGTCTATAGGGACTGGGTATAAGAGGAGTGTAGCCTGAAAGTAAACATTTTCTGTAAGTGTTCAATTGGAATTGGTTTCATTTGACTTTGGAATTAAGCTGTGTTCAATGATTAATGGAGGTAGCTTTAACCTCGGCTTCCATCCACACAGCTACATTTGTTTTTCTCATCTCTTGATATTTTCTGAATATTTTTGAGCGAGACGTTCTCAAATGGCAGGGCGAAATCAGAGCGTGGCATTTTACTTATTAATTGCACAACCCATTGTTTATTGGGTGGGATATTTAACCCAGTAGAATTTTTTTTATCGAAGTAAAAAACAAAATGCGAGGCAATATAGGCAATGTTAGTCTTCTCAGTGATAAAAGACCGATTTACAGTGTGATAAAGTAACGATTATTCATAGCATCCAAGAAAAAGTTGCTTAATTAATCTGCCAACCTTTACTTTTCAGGAGACAAAGTAAAAGTTAGTCATCTGTCTATTCATGAACTTTTACCGCCAACCCAGAGTTTCATGACGTACGACGGATCGCTCACGTGGCCTGGCTGTTACGAAACGGTCACGTGGGTAATCATGAACAAGCCCATGTATATGACACGTGATCAGGTAAATGCAATGAGTCTCTATAATTATACACTGTAGGATAATATGACAGGGAGAGGGGGGAGGTGGGAGGAACCCTTTTCTTTCTTGATTACCAGAAATGAGTCGTGAATTTTGAGACATCAACGAAGACAATAAATAAGCATAAGCATGACAAGTTTATTACATATGTCTTATTATCTTACACTATGCACGATCATCATTTTTTCGTTTTTTTCTGTGACTTTAGCATGTATGTAATGGAACTTTGTCATATGGCATGTAAAAACTTTCTAAACGTCTAATGCCAATTTAACATTTATCAATATGGCCATAGGCCTACATGCGCAGGTACAATGCCATTGGAGAAGTAAACAAAACCTTTATTTGCTTATAAGAGCAAATGGACAATATGAAGGCGCATTGCAATTTTATTCCACACAGCACTCTAGTTTTGTTTATTTTATTTTTATTTTATTTGAACTTTATTTAAAGAGGTTAAACATGTTAAGCGTAAGCTTATCTTCCACATGGCCCTCTGTTACTAGTCATTCAACAGTACTGGGTTTGTTCCCTGCTTCATACTTTCTATGCTGAGTGCTAAGCAAGGAGACAGTAGGTACCATTTTTATGATGGTCTTTAGTGAAGCATAGTAATGGACAAGTTATACCAGAATAACGTCTTGCATTTTTTTCAGATAAGTAGTCTACGAGATGTCAAGAGCAACCTGAAGGAAAAGGCAAAGGTCCCCATGGTGGACAACGTGCGCCCCACAGTCTCCCAGAACCACAGAGTAGTTAGAACCAATATCAATTTCGCTCAACCGGTAAGAAGGGGAGAACACTGTGAATAGCTTGTGTTTATTGTAAAAAGTTACCGTACCGTCTGCTTCGTCAAAGGGGGGGGGGGGGGTATGCGGTGCGCACCCTTCTTCCAAAATTATGATATATAACCTCCTACTTAAAAAGTGTCAACTCTACTGTATTTATAAACACTGCTACAAGGGTACCCATATTTTATTTTACTGTTGCGTAACGACTAAACAACCGATCGTGTTGTAAATTGAGGATGTGAGAAGTAGAATTTTGAGCTATCTAGCGAAAATGTGTGGGGTGCAATTGGAGAAGGATTTTTCAAACAAAAATGAACTCATACTATCTTTGCACTGTATGTGGAACGCCATCTCTCCACAGACTTACAAAACTCTTGGACTACAAGCTCATACGCGTCAGGTGCGTCCTCCAATCTAGAAAATACCGTACAAAATACCAAAATGTGACTGATTTTGCTACTATGGTTAGCTTATTCATTGATTGTACAATTAATAAATTTTGTGAGAAAGCAATCTTCCTAGAAGTTGTGTAAGAAAGCATTGGTTTATGGCTTCTTTTTCTGCGCATTGCAGTTAGGGGTGACATTTTCTTGGTATGGGCAAGAAGTTACAACTTCTTGGTATGGGAGTATAGCTGAGAGTGCACCCTCCTCCACCAGTTAGTCCATGCAGCCAATAATTTCATGAAAACGTTCACAACATCTTTCATGTCGCATTTTAAGAGGGGCGTCAGATTTTTGTCTAGTGATACATGTATATGCAGTATTTTCTTGCATTTCTCACTTGTAACATCTATGATTTTTGTTATCTGTTTTGCGACAATTTCATAAAACAAAACAGATAACAAAAAATCATATCCAAGTAAAACTAAGGAGCATACACTATTTGTATGTAAATGCTTGGTGCCAATGTCACCTTGGTACATTGGACTGGACAGAAAAGTGTGCTTTTTTATTTTACGAAGAGAGTCAGCAATACCCCCCCCCCCAAAAAAAAAAAAAAAAAAAAAATAAATAAATAAATAAATAAATAAATAAATAAATAAAAATAAAAAGGTGGCCGATTCCTCGAGGAAAGGGTGAGTATGGTTTGAATAGAATGTTATGTTGAGTATTCTTAATTTTAAAAATCCTTATCGCTTAGTAACAGGAGTTTTGTAACTAAACCGATATGTCAAAGTTTTCTCTCTCACTATGCGGTATTTGTAAACAGATGGTTTGCCTTTATTCTTTCAGGAATGCTTTACCGGTTTTGCAGAAATAGCTTAAGACTGAAACTGAAAAGTTCAGCAATTTGCCCTTTATTTCTAATAAGCCCAAAATTGTTGAGAAAATTGGGCTCTTTAAACCTGTTTTCAAACTCTTAATTTTCCATTTTATGGTGATGGGTGATATTTCCATCTCTATTACCTTTATGACACACACACAAAAAAACTAAAAAACTCAAGTACATCGTGGTATTTATGGATTTAAGTTAAACATGTAAGAACGTATTCTCGCATTATTGGAGAGTTTGTTTACAAGTTTTCTTCTTTATTTCAGGGGAAAGGTTGCAACATGGAACGAAATCTTAAATTTAAAGGTAAATTGTGCTCCTCTTTGAAAAAAAAACCGCACTGTGAAGTTGTATTGTCAATCAAACGAATATCTTAGATCGTTATAACTCGTGAGAGTATCAGTGACAAATATTTCATAGTAAGCCCCACTGACGTTTCACCATTTTTTAGTTAAAACGTTTTTTTGCTATTATTGGGATAACTAACAAATATCAATACAAAGAGAATCGATATTCTTTGTTGCCTTCTTTCTTGTTGTGAATGGGACTGAAAGTTTGCGGTACACTGCGATGGAGGGGACATAAAAGTAAAATTGTAATGCTGAAATTTAGCTTTACATAGTTTCTGGAAAAATGTCTCCTTCCAGATAGATAACTGCGGACATTATGCACATTTCCCCGCAGGATGGTGAAACACCCAACGTAATTAAGGTGCCATTTAACGCGTTCAACATGTTGTGTCTGAATCCATGAAAAGGGCTGGTCGGATGTACTAGTCTCGATGTGATCTAAACATCCATCACAATTTTTTTCGATTTCAACATGATATCTTAACATGTCATCTTACATGCATTTTCAGCAAACATAGTGGACAACAAACCTTGATCATCTGAGATCACAATCGTTCAAGGAACAGATGGCAGTAGACCGTGCGACATAGAGCATCACCAGTGAATGGGCAGATATTGACCTCTGTTTCTTGGACCAGGCGCGGAGTTCCTGAAAAATATAACCTTTATTGCAGATGAATGAGAGACTCCAATAATGGCGAATAAGGTCACAGGAGAAAGAGGCTACTACAGTGATTGTGGCCACGGTACAGCGTGTGTTGGAGACAGCTGAGACGAGCAGCACTCACCACGGTGCATGCGCTTTTCGAGGAAGTAACCTTTGTGAAGTACGATAGCCACGAGTTTTTTTAAATATTTTTCTGTGAATTTGAACAGTCTCTCTTTGGTGAATCACTGATCAATTTATAATATAGTTTAGTAATGTAGCAGCTTACGGCGAATCACTGCAGGCCACACCCGTATTTCAGTCTTCCACGTCAACACAACGGAGGTCTACAGACCTCTCTCTGGACAAGGAAATCTACATGAACTGGAGAACGTTGTCTTCTACCTACTTGTAGATCAGGTGCAGGAAGCTCGTTCTTCACCAACCGTTACTGAGTCGGTTACTTATGGACGGTACATTTTCCATAATTGCACATTCATAATGAATAATCAGTGACACGCCTCTGATAACAGTGCCTGCATGTCATTCATTTACAATTTCCATCTCACCATATCAAACTATTAGAAGTGCCAAAGAAGTGTTTGAATACCTACATATCAATATATATATATATATATATATAATATAATATAATATTATTATATATATTATATATATATATATATATATATATATAATATTTCAGACAGTCCGCCTTCGCCTACGTGTAGATAAAGATATTTTAAGGCTTAGAACGACGCAAGTCGTATTTGATATTAATCACAGTCTCTTTCCAGTTTCACTTAAATGTTTTTGTCGAAATCTACTAATTTCACTTTTTGTTTATTTTAATAATCTAATGTTAGCTGGGGTGCAGAAAATCTGTAACATTTCAAACTAGGACAATACTTAAGCTAAATCCTGCACAAATCACTTCTCGCGGGACGCAGGGAGACCGTGATGAAGATGAAGTAGGTACGTAATGCAAGCTCCTGAGTAGCCCTCTCCTTGCTGTCAGCAGAAATGATCAACTTAACTGCTTCTCTTGGGACGCTGAGTCATTCACTCGGATCTAACTGCTTCAGTGAACAAACAGGCGGACAGTCGTGATAATATGATTTGAAAATCAAGTACTTTTCCTGATTCTTTTCGGAAGGAGTTGTGTGTTCTTTGGCGATCTATTAATTTATCATATATTGCTTATATGTATGGTTAAGTGTTAGAAAAAATCACATCGGCTTTGCTAGGATTTTGGCAAGGGGTGAATCGCAAGGATAAAAAGGATAAAACATATTCGGTACTAGACGAGAACAATTAAATAATAATATGTGGGACACAGGGACGGAAATTCGTTTAGTTTTGGCATACTAATTTTTTCGAAGCAGATGGTGTTGATGTGTATGTGTGTGTGTGTGGGGGGGGGGAGTACTCGCTATGCCCCCCCCCCCCTCCTCCTTCAGCCACCATTGACTTACAGAGGAAATGTCGAAAAAGGTCTGTATATTTGATTGTATGGGAACAATCAATTATAAAGAGCGGTTTTCGCTGTCTGTATTCAGCCTCATTATCACAGAGCGAGTTCAGTAAATACGAAGAAAGTGCTCTGCTCTGGAGCACCAAGTACGTTCAGTAAGTGATTTAGATCAACCTTTGCTGGGTTCATTTCCCGTCTTACTTTTGTTCGTGTATCTCGGGACGAGAATGAGGGGTTAAACAAGTCAATTCCTAGGTTCCAGGTCGCCTTGTATTTTGCAATGTTTGCACGACAACATTCAAAACAGAAAGTCAATATCCGCTCTGTCCATCAGAGACCTTGCAACCGGGATGACATTCCAAACAGTAGATCAGGTACAAATTTCTGATCTCGCTCAGCGACAGCCGCATTACAGGTATGGTATAAAGTAAAATCTGAGAGATTAATCTAAAGGTCCTTCCACTTGTGTTGTAGGCAAAATTGAAAAAGTAACAGTAGGCGGGAAAGTGGTGCCCTATGGTCGGTCTGCTTCACCTCTAAGTTCCTTTTTTTTTAATTGCAATTTACAATTTTAAGAAACTTAAATTTTAAGAAAGCAGAGAATGCTACGGCTAAACTGAATGTAGTTCATATCTATGCAGTGTTATTCATCAAACAAAGTGACCGTTGTTTGAGACGCAAGAAAAAAACCACCTTCGTCGCTCTTCGTCGAGTGTCAGACATGGTAATTTACACACTACTTGCTGACGTTGATTTCTGTTTAAAGTCATTCTAAACTCCTTGTACATAAAATAATAGAGAATTAGCCCAGCAAGTAACAATGCATATAAACCTATGTACAGCAGCTGCAGTGGTTGTTTCATAAGGCTTGATATACCTCTCTTGTTATAGTTAGTTGTAGTAATATAGTGATTTGGTAAATTTTACGCAGAGGAACCTGTTCACCTCTGATGAAATCTCTTTGTCATTATAGTCTTCTCAACTTGTCACCGAGTAACTGTGCACTATGCATTATGCGCATTTTATCTTAATGGTTACATTAAATGAAATATCATTGTATCTTCAATTGCGTCTTGTTTTTCAAGAAAGTCTTTGTAAGCAATAGCACCTCGCATTAGGCATGGATAAAAGCTTTTCCATTCTCTCTTGAGTGTACATTGGATATGGGCACATGTCATTAACATTGTACCTTTGTGTAAAGGCTTTTGTGTAAATAACTAGCTGTTTTCATTCCTTATGTAGTTGATATTTAATTCACAAGGTCCGGTGGCGTGACACTGCCCCGATGTCCAGTAATGCTTGAAGAAAAAAACTCAGCCGCCTCATTTCCATCGCTTTACTTAAGTTCCATTAAAATTTACTGGCGATTTGCGAAACAGAATGTAAAAGCAGCGGAAACGGAAAGTAACCCACCCAGACTCAAGATCTGAAGATGGAGAGCGGATAATGTGAACAGTGTCTTTGCCACTATTTGTTTGGGCTTGCTGTCTTGGGGCACAACGGGCCAAGTGGCCGTGGCAATCGCTGCAGTCTTTCTAATTCCTCATTCAATAATCTGCAAGAAAAGCAACACACATTCTGCCAGCTGACATTAAATGATAAAACGGAAATCAATGCCACTAAGGCAGATTCAATTTAAGCCCGCCCCGAAGGATATCGAATAATCCCCACGTGTTTCTCCTGGCGGATGAGTACATGATTTAGCTGCCAAAACCTTGTCCATTTTGAAGATTTCATCTGTTTGTCTGGGTAAATGCCGCCGCTGTATTTTTGTGTATGGCTTTGGAGGCGCAGTGTTGTATCGAAAGTTACTGTTTCACCTAGCGTATGAGAAAATTTACTCATACGCGGACAAAGGCAAGGGGTTGGTTACGTTTACGTCACATGCGTCTTTAGAACGTTCGAGTACCCGGAGGGAGATAAAATGTTTTGAGCGTGTTCAAAAACTATGTCATTCGCTTCTCGTATTTTCATTAAATACGCTGAAAACAGGGTGATTTTATTCGCTCAATAAAGTTGTGCATAAAAATCGATGTCACATACGATACTCATACTTGTACGTACCACTTTACGCTAGGTGTGACAGAGCCTTAAGGGGGTAATGACTCTACGATACAACGATAATCTTACTTATTAAATGCGTAGTTAGCGTGTGATGCTGTTGTGAAATACTTTGTTGCGCAGGTTTTAGCCACAATATCTATATTTTCCCTTAACATTAATGCAGAGACGAGGCGGAAGAATATTGAAAAGGGGTGAAATCTTCCCATTTTTCCACCCGACATATTCCTCGTTTAGATCATTTCATACAAAACCCAACTGTCCGCGCCTTCATTTTCACAAGAATAAATGGAAATCCGACAAAAGCAGTAGTAATATCATTGCTGCCACCTTTTTCTAAATTCAAAGAACGCATTCAATCAAGCTGTCCAGATCTTTTTGGTCCCGGTAGAAATCCACTGCTGTCTGGAAATAAATTCCTTTGTACATATTTCAATGCTCTGTGGAGAATGAGTTTTAGATGGGGCACATTGAAGTCAGAGCGGGAATCAATCACAAACTTTGATTGACACATTAGCCTAGGTTTCAAAAAAAAAAAAAAAAAAAAAATCCATCGGAACATTTATTGTGGGACACAACATCTATTTTATTACAGATCTTGACGAATCTCAGGAACCATCAGCATTGAATTAAAAAACGTGGAATTCCGCATTTCCACGGAAAAAGCTCATGCCTGAAAATTCACGTCTTGNACATAAAATAATAGAGAATTAGCCCAGCAAGTAACAATGCATATAAACCTATGTACAGCAGCTGCAGTGGTTGTTTCATAAGGCTTGATATACCTCTCTTGTTATAGTTAGTTGTAGTAATATAGTGATTTGGTAAATTTTACGCAGAGGAACCTGTTCACCTCTGATGAAATCTCTTTGTCATTATAGTCTTCTCAACTTGTCACCGAGTAACTGTGCACTATGCATTATGCGCATTTTATCTTAATGGTTACATTAAATGAAATATCATTGTATCTTCAATTGCGTCTTGTTTTTCAAGAAAGTCTTTGTAAGCAATAGCACCTCGCATTAGGCATGGATAAAAGCTTTTCCATTCTCTCTTGAGTGTACATTGGATATGGGCACATGTCATTAACATTGTACCTTTGTGTAAAGGCTTTTGTGTAAATAACTAGCTGTTTTCATTCCTTATGTAGTTGATATTTAATTCACAAGGTCCGGTGGCGTGACATTGGACCGTGAACCTCAATTGCAAATGTCCAGTAATGCTTGAAGAAAAAACTCCGCCGCCTCATTTCCATCGCTTTACTTAAGTTCCATTAAAATTTACTGGCGATTTGCGAAACAGAATGTAAAAGCAGTGGAAACGGAAAGTAACCCACCCAGACTCAAGATCTGAAGATGGAGAGCGGATAATGTGAACAGTGTCTTTGCCACTATTTGTTTGGGCTTGCTGTCTTGGGGCACAACGGGCCAAGTGGCCGTGGCAATTGCTGCAGTCTTTCTAATTCCTCATTCAATAATCTGCAAGAAAAGCAACACACATTCTGCCAGCTGACATTAAATGATAAAACGGAAATCAATGCCACTGAAGCAGATTCAATTTAAGCCCGCCCCGAAGGATATCGAATAATCCCCACGTGTTTCTCCTGGCGGATGAGTACATGATTTAGCTGCCAAAACCTTGTCCATTTTGAAGATTTCATCTGTTTGTCTGGGTAAATGCCGCCGCTGTATTTTTGTGTATGGCTTTGGAGGCGCAGTGTTGTATCGAAAGTTACTGTTTCACCTAGCGTATGAGAAAATTTACTCATACGCGGACAAAGGCAAGGGGTTGGTTACGTTTACGTCACATGCGTCTTTAGAACGTTCGAGTACCCGGAGGGAGATAAAATGTTTTGAGCGTGTTCAAAAACTATGTCATTCGCTTCTCGTATTTTCATTAAATACGCTGAAAACAGGGTGATTTTATTCGCTCAATAAAGTTGTGCATAAAAATCGATGTCACATACGATACTCATACTTGTACGTACCACTTTACGCTAGGTGTGACAGAGCCTTAAGGGGGTAATGACTCTACGATACAACGATAATCTTACTTATTAAATGCGTAGTTAGCGTGTGATGCTGTTGTGAAATACTTTGTTGCGCAGGTTTTAGCCACAATATCTATATTTTCCCTTAACATTAATGCAGAGACGAGGCGGAAGAATACTGAAAAGGGGTGAAATCTTCCCATTTTTCCACCCGACATATTCCTCGTTTGGATCATTTCATACAAAACCCAACTGTCCACGCCTTCACTTTCACAAGAATAAATGGAAATCCGACAAAAGCAGTAGTAATATCATTTCTGCCACCTTTTTCTAAATTCAAAGAACGCATTCAATCAAGCTGTCCAGATCTTTTTGGTCCCTGTAGAAATCCACTGCTGTCTGGAAATAAATTCCTCTGTACATATTTCAATGCTCTGTGGAGAATGAGTTTTAGACGGGGCACATTGAAGTCAGATTGGGAATCAATCACAAACTTTGATTGACACATTAGCCTAGGTTTCAAAAAAAAAAAAAAAAAAAAAAAATCCATCGGAACATTTATTGTGGGACACAACATCTATTTTATTACAGATCTTGACGAATCTCAGGAACCATCAGCATTGAATTAAAAAACGTGGAATTCCGCATTTCCACGGAAAAAGCTCATGCCTGAAAATTCACGTCTTGAAGGCCTCTAGACGCCCTTCCAACAAAAGTTACCGAGTTGATTTTTCCAGAGTTCTTTTTTTTTTAATCCTAAGAGCCCTTTATTATTTTAACATCAGTTGGAATAATAATTACAGGATCCTTCCCGGGAGATCAACTTGACTGATAAGTGTATTTAAATCTTTGACCTGCTTTTCGAACATAACCACCACTGGAAGACCGAATGTTTACCTCAGCGTTCACAAAGAAACAATGCCATTATCAGATAGCTTTATTTTGCCATATTCCTGCATCTATAACGTAAAGAAATGAAGAAAATCAACACTGAAAAAATGTGAAAATGTCAATTTAAAAAAATTAATCCAACGTTTTAATACATTTGGTGGTAATTTTTTTGTGTAAATTACTAAAAAACGCTGCTCGAGCAACAAACCACCGAAATGTTATGTCTATCAGTTTACATTTTTGGTGGATGTAACATTAATGAAACCTTCCAAGTTTTGACATTTCCTTCCCCATTATGAAATGATCTATAGAATACATGAAATGAAAAAATAAATGTGCAAATTATTTATCAAATTACCAGAACAGATGTCCCTGAATTTAAACGTTGAATATAAATTTTATTTGAATACTGCTGAAAAGGATTCCCCGTCAAATGTTTCAGACAACATATTGTGCTTCGTCTATATACAGTCAAATACTATAAGATGGCATATATAATGTAACAAAAAATGGTTTGAGAAAAAAAAGTGTCATGCTTCTTCGATGCAACATATGACAACACTATATTTGGAAAGAATAATTATTGATAAAAAATGTAAATATCTTATATCAACTTTCTGAATCTAACAAAAAAATTACGTAACAACTGTCAATATTATGAATATTTCAAACGGCTTCCGTGTCATTTTATCCTACACACTTCAAAATATTCAAGTTTTTACAATAATATGTACACAAATTATTTTATAATTGTTGCTCCCAAAACACCTGTGAAAGGAGCACCAGAATTGCAGCACACAAGGTTTAGCAGACGATATGGAAGCGACCTATTGTACTGCCTTCATTGCATATGGTCAGATTAACAGGAACAAAAGCCAGACATCAAGTCTATAGCAATTCACACAATATTTTACAATAAATACCAACTTGCCCTTCAAACTGAATAACATGGGTCTAATGCTATACCTCTCACTGCCATTATTACTCATTTTGTCTGTAACATTATGTTCTCATACTGAGGCAATTCACTATTATTCTCCACAAAAAAGACCATTTCAGCTGACATCTGTGGATAATAATTCATAAATATCACAAATAACACAGACATATGGCCTTATATGAGATCATTGAATTATAAGAATCCATAGCAACAGATAATTTGACAGACATAGCATCTGTTATTAAAGTGTAATCGTATCTGATAATCTCCAACTGCCAAGTTGCCATGACGACCATAAACCTGGTTGGTGTAACACAGCGCCATCTATTGTGTTGTTCTTGTACTTCACTATACAATAGCAAGCAGTCATGTATCAGTGTTAGACTACAAATATCTTACACCAGTTGTAATTTTTAAACTTAACATCAGGATCCAGTCCTTACTTCAATACCACAACAAGTAAAGGTGAACTTAAAGACAATCCAGGGAAGAAAAAATAGATGAGTTTTCTCTGTCACTATGGTCAAAATTGCAACAAAAGTTGACATCTCCATCTTTGTAACCTGTCAGTTAAGTGAAGAAGACTCCAGGATATATCAGTGCGTATGATGCCCATGTTGCGTAGTCAAGCACACATTACATGTATAAATACAGCACAAGACATGGACAGTATGGACCATCTGTGGGAAGTCTGGAGCTCTATCCACCCTATATCTGGTCTTCTCAGTACTTGTGTTTGCCTTGAGCTGGGTCAGCTGAAAGTATGCAACATGTTCAGGCATATCATTTAAATTGTATAACATAATGTAAGAATACAATGCACTTGTCTGCTTCTAACTTAAACTGGTATATACTCTTATAAACACATAAATGCTTGATAATGTACTCAATGTTAGTGGCCAGGTATGTAACAGTAATGATACCATGTTCCTTCCAACTCTAAGGTCGTATTCAGAATAGTGGACTAACTAGTCAGAGGGTCAAATATAGCTGACCCACTTGTCATGAACACTTCTCTACGGGATATCTATTCAGTGTCTATTAGCAGATTAGACGACAAGCTTTTTAGTGGGTCGCCATATTTGACCCTCGGACTAGTTTGTCCACTGTTCCGAATGCAGCTTAAGAATTTTTCTACATGGCAAGTATATTTCTAACTCATAAGTTTAACAAAATGATTGGAAAACCTTAACATTACAATATTTATGATTATCAGACCATGTCCACTCCCACCCCCATCAGTTCACAAAAAGCTTCATGTGTGGATTCCTGCCCAAAAAGTTTTGTTACCAACAGCATTTTTGTTGTTATCACAGAAACAGACATTCCTTAAAACTGACAAACCAAACACAAAAGTTAGATAGAAGAACCAAAACACTTTACTGTGTGTATTTCTCTGTTGTCAACTAGGTTTCTGTGATTTCTGTACACATAATTCAATTTCATTTCATATTTTCTTAAATGTGTAATCACAAGCTCCTTTCTAGCATGTTAGTGAAAATGTCTATAGTCGCATTCTCATTGCAGATAGACCCTTCTCAGTGCAGGCCATGTACTGAAGCCAAGATCACCAGAGGCAGAAAGCATAGTATCCCCACTGCTCAAAAACATTCCCTTGGCTCCCCAGAACAGGTCAAGGTAACAGATAGGAAAATGAGGGCTTCTATCTGCTTAGCTTCAACAGAGAAGGACCTATCTGCAATGTGATTCATGACTTAACACTAGCATGTCTGCCCCAGTATACAAGTACAATAGGTATAGATGCTGCCACTGATAAGAGGGCCAAAAGACAGACTGGCAGGCTGTTAATTTTAAATATAAACCTTTATTTCAAACCATGTACAAGTTGTACTGCATGTACAAGAGAATACTTAGTGTCTGTGAGTATTACACACCTCATCACCCTTTGGCTTACAATTCTTATACTGAATATGAGAGAGTGCTCTGGCTGCTGAGACTGTTACAAAGTGAAACCCATTGAGATCACCCAGCCCTACCTGTGACGTGCGTCCCATACGGCAGAGTGTTAGGAGGTAGATGATGCAGCGGTGAGGTAGTATGAATTGAAGGATACATATCTGGAAGGCAGGAGAAGCACAAAGCATTAGACAAGCTTACTGGCAGAGTTAATGACTGATGAACAGAAGCAGATAGGAGAGAAAGCTTTATTACTAACAAATATATACATTGCCAGATAGAGCTGATCACCAAACCAACAATAACTCCAGCGTTTCCAGGGGATCTGGCAGGTGGGGGCTTCTGTGCCACCCAAAACTCTACCCCTGCTTTAAAGAACTTTTTTGGAAAATAACCGAGTGTATCTGGGCCTTAGACCATTTCTTTCTTTCTTTCTTTCTTTTTTTTGATACTGGACAGGGACCGAATCCATCAGTGTTTTTAAAGAGTGGAAGTACCCCAATGCCAATAACTTAACAATAAGGAATAGTTAATCGTTGTATCAATTAATACTTCATTAAGAAATAAATGTTAAACATGTACTTGATTCCCCCTAAACTACACACTTTAATAAAGAATGGCAAACAATAATCAATCTGAGGAAATCAGTGGGCATGAGCCATTAGATAAAAGTTGTAATCTGATAAAGACTTTTCCCTGCTGTGTATTTATGAGTCTACTTTCTCAGTGTTAGAGCAAGTGAAGACAAGGATTTACGTGGAGTTCCCAGTCCGTACTGTGCCGCGTGGCCGTGAAGTGGTGAAGTTTGTTGGTGGAGCGGTGATGGTGTGGAGTGGCTAGGGGAGTGGCCAGCACGAGGGGGCGTGGTCTGCTGGACAACCACTGGACTGGTGTTACCAAACTGACCACCATGTGCTAAGGAAGAAAATGGAAAAATGTAGCCAGTTTATTTCTAGTATTAATTTTTTTAAATCTGGGTAAATAAGAAGTGAAACACTTTTAATAAAACACATGAATTTGAGTTATTTAATTGGTCCGTCTGAATTGAAGTATGAGGCATTGAAATCACCAGATGTATTACATACCTGGTGAAAGGTCAGCTGCAGATCTTGACAAGGAGGTAGGAGTGACAGGGGAGCCTTTCAAGTATTCTACAATATCAAACCCCCCAGCTCCAGCCAGAGTGAGGGACGGTGGGACCCCTGGGAGAGCACTGGTGACCCCAGCCAAGGACAGGGTGGGGGACACCCCTGGTACACCACCAGAGGACAGACTCCGCATGTAGGGGACACAGAACGCAGAGTCGGGTTTCTGTGTGGCTGCTGCCGCCGCTGTTTTGCTCTTGTAGTTCAACCCCTGAGAGGGTGCTACCTCTGGGGAAGTCAGCGCTGATGAGTAGATTTGCTGAGCAGAGTCGCTAGTCCATGCAGAAGTGCCTCCTGTCAACAGAGACCTTGACTGACTTTTCTGTTGTTGCTGTTGTTGAGCACTGAGAGTTCTCTGCATCTGTTGTTGTTTCATATGCTGTAACAGGGCCTCATTGCTGCTTTTTCTCTTTGCTTCTTGTTGAGAAGCGGTGGAGGACTTTTGTTGAGACGGTTTCTGTTGTTGTTGCTGTAATACTTTCTGCTGTTGATGTTTTTGTTTCTGTTGAATTGCGGCCTTTAAATGTTGCTGCACCAAATCTGCCTGCTGGTACTCTGTCAAATGCTGCTGCTGCAATAACCTAGCCTGAATTTGTTGCTGTAGCTGTTGTTTTTGTTGTTGTTGAGGACTTACAGTTTTTTGCTGCACTGCATCCCCTCCTCCTCTGTGGCTGTTACCCTGCTCTTGGCCTGAGTGTGAGGTAATTAGATCACCTGAAAACAAAGTCTTTACCACTTTATCTGTGTGATTAGCATCCTGCTGCAGACCACCTGTCTGCCCTTGTCTTCCAGAACTGGAAGGTGTTCTCCCAAGAACAGAATTCCCTTTCTGGTCCAGCAAGTTAGCTGCTGTAGACATGATGCTGGACTGTTGCCCCTGCTGTAATCTTACTGTATTACCAGCTGCTGCTGCTGGGACGCTAGGTTTGGGTTTGGTGCCCTGATGTGTGGGGCTGACAGTAGCCCCCTGGGGTCCAGCCAGCCCCCCTGCTTTCTGTCCCTGATCTTTGTGGAGAGAACTTGCAACATTGGCAGTGTGTGAAGTTTTTCCCTGGGCCGACTGCATAGATGAGGAAGAAACTGAGTTTGTTTGAACTGGTTGCTGAGATCTTTGAATGTATACCTGCTGTCCACTGCTGGTCACTATGCTGGCGTTTTGGCCCTTCAATGGAGCCACCGGGGAAGTTTTTGGAGAGGTTTTTGTTGTGTCCACTACTGAAGTATTGTAAACACCAGGAGAACTGGTGGTTTTGATTAAATGATGGCCTTGACCTTTCATGGCCCCTGAAGACCCTTTCCAAGTGACAGTTATAGGGGACTTGGATTTAGTTTTGGACACAGTCACTGTGGTCTGCATTTTGTTTTTTAAATCCTGGCTCAGGGTGAACAAGGACTTGGTAAGAGGATGCTGAACCTGAGAGGAAAGCTGGGGAGATTGTTGGCTATTAACAAAGTTTTGAAAACTCGACATAAAGTCAGAGGAACTATTTGTCACTGTACCAGGGAGACTGGATGTCACCACTGCTGTAACAGGTGTATTTGACACAGCAGGTGACCCTGTGGACAAACTTAGAGTCTTCAGTACTTCCGAGGCTGGAGAGCTGCGCAACAGTTCAGACACTTGAGTTGATGTCAAAGGTTTTGTGGTTATTTGAGTCTTGGGTCTCTGACTGTAGGCGTGGTCAGTCCGTTTCTGCTCTCCTAATCCTAGAGAGCTAGGAACCGTGTTCATGTCGATCTGCTTGTTCTCCTGGGAAACTGTTGTCCCTGCTGTTACTGTTGATGATACACTTGTTGATGTTGTTACTACTGCCACTGATGTTACAATCTGTGGCTTGGGACTTGTAGTCACAATCATGGTTTTCTTTGGCTTTTGTCTGAGGTAAAAAAAAGGAATTGCACATTTATGCATTTTATATTTCATTGCTGCAACAGTCTTCAGACTAATGCTGGTTAGCTCATTTCTATTGCTTTAAGATCTCAAAGTATTTAGTGTATAACATTCAATTTGATTAACGTGTGCCAATGTTTATTCCTTAACAGCTAACCAGTTATATAATTATGTTGTGAAATCTTTCCACACTGACCAAACTAAACAAACAAGAATGTACTTACTGTGGACCTGTAAGGTAAGAGTGAGCCGATTTACTTTCTTTAAACAGCATCCTGAAATAACGAAGAAAAATAATTCCACAAAATATTCACAGCAGCTGCTGTCATTGCGACTTGCCCACATTGTGACTAAGAACATCTCTTAATTTCGCTTCAGAATGAAAACATTCACAGAGCACTGAATCCACACTACAAATTCAGTAGCAAGAACATTTTAAATTTATGTATGTACCTTAGCATTTTGTGCCTTTGTTTAACAATAAGCCCAGTATTCAATCTAAAATTCTGCTTGATTTAATTTAAGCTTAAGGAATTTGGAAAAAAAAGTCATATATCTACAAAACTTTGCCACCTATCCTCTAGGCTCAATGTGCAATGCTCTTCATTGTAGACAAACAGCTGTTTTTTTTTTAGCCCATTCCAAATTGGGAACATGATTGACGAGAAAATGGTGACAAATACATTTTTGAAGTATGAACATACATTCTTAGCACTTAGTTATAAGTTCCAATACTTATATCTTTTGGTATACAGACTTTGTGCCTTTTATAGATTATATTTATACTAGTTCTAGTTAAATAACTTGAAATAGTAATTACATATTAGTTTCACATGCAATAAATATAGTTTAGATAGGAAGTTCCAATAATTCAGTCTGAGTGTGCCCACCCACCCACCTTGTCTGCATCCATCCCTTGGGCCACAAAGTTTTAATTTCGGCCTCCAGGAACCCCTTCAGGTACTCCTCGGCAGTCTGCCCCTTAGCCCTGGTGGACTCATAGCCCTGGAGCTTCAGCCTGACCACACGACACAGCAGCTCTCTATAAAGGGAAGTTAGGAAAATTCATTTGTACGAAGACAATGTTATTCAACCAGATTCTGGGGTAGCGCTAGCAATTTTTTTTCGCTTAGCCAAATCACCACTTTTTTGTCAATTTGTTATCCAAAAGGTTATAATTTGACTAAAACAAGTCAAATCAAGTCCTTTCTGTTTAGCCAATTTAAGTCAATTTTAGCATTTGGCTTAACTGGCAAGTGTTAGTGCTACCCCAGCAGAATATAAAATCACTATAAACAAGAATTAAGCTCTTTTGTTGCAAAGAGAGACATGAAGGTAGAAATGTTTCCAATCTGCCCATATTCATCAAGAAAAACTTGCACATCCAAAAGGGATAGCACCACAGTTGTTAAAATAGCATCTGACCTTAGTTTAGATCAGTACTTTCTTATCCTGAGGCAAACAGATGTCGCGCTACTCTCAGACTTTGGAACCAAGATTTAATTTCCATTCACAGCTACTGATTAGACCAACTGATTTGAATATCATGCTATTAACTACGAATATGTCACAATAAAACTCTCCAGTGGATTATTAATACAACAAATGGTAACTACTAAAGTACCCTTTAAAAATACCAGCCTTTGTTACTTTTAAAATTGAATGGTCATCAGACAAGAAAATATCTTGGTGAGGATATGAAACCATTATCCTAAGGTAATATTCTGAAATCATCAAGCCTCATTAATCAGGTTTTCAGATCTTCAAGTAGCAGCTAAACCTAATTTTTCTATTAATTTCACAGCAGGCAACATTATAACCCTTGGCTTGCACACTACAATGCTACTTTACAATATCTTTATAACCCAGCTCATGCATTAAAACATACTTTCAAAAATGGAAAACTAAGCATAATTATAATTAAATGAATGGACTGTAATAATTGAAGTTAATGAGAATAATATCATCAGCTACTAGAACCCTGCATTCATTGCACCACTTGGCCAGTCTTCTAGGTGAGGCACGGTTGACCAGAGATTTATAAGTGTCATCTTTTTCAACTGAGAGTAAAATGTGATAAACTATCATACATCATTTAATCTACAGAAAAAAACTGTATAAATTCAGTTTAATTGGACCCATTTCTATAAGCCACATTTGATTTTTCTTCTAATAGACCTTGAAAAATTAATTGACCCTGACGTGATTTGAACACGCAACCTTCTGATCTGGAGTCAGACGCGCTACCGTTGCGCCACAGAGTCATACATGCTCTAAACCTCTTACAATACACTGGCTTATTAATAAGCTGATATATTCTGCTGCTTATTATCTTCTTATATGCATGGCTGAGTTGTGATAATGAGAGTTGTAACTCGCTTACGATGGGATGGGAAAAGCAACAAAGGAGAGCCTACAGTCCTTTTTTATATTTCTATTTCTCAACTGTTTGTCCTGCCAAATAATAGAATATGACAACAATATTCACATAGTATTTGCTACATGGATTATCATTAATTCATTGAACTGTAACATCCTGACCCCTGCTATAGAATGTAAATGTAAATAACTTATTTTTTAATGAATCTGAGCTTCCATTCTCATGACAAAAAAAAAAAAAAAAAAAAAAAAAAAAAAAAAAAAAACCAAAATTTTTTATTTTTATGAAAAAAAACCTCAGGAACACCAAAANAATGGATAGTTTTAACCCGTTTTTTCATCACAGTATACCTTTAAAGAAATTTCCTAAAACAGTAACAGATAAGCCCTGACCCTAAATTCTGCAGTTGAGGCAGGTGATAAGGTCTGATAACACAGTTTACTGTATAATTATGTCAGTCTGTAATCAGGTAATTAGGTTATCTCCCACTTGCCTACTTGTCTCTGATAATATCAAACAATGCAGCAGTTTTAATAAGCATTTAAATGGGACAATAAAAATACACTTCCATCACTACAACAAAGAATCAGCTGACTTTACCTCAGAACCCTTTTAAGGCAGTTTGATAAGTTAAATGGCCTAAATTGGTCAAAATGTCTCACCCCTCCCAACTGCTTCTTTTATGTAAAATGCATATAGATATCTAAACATTAGTGCAAAAAAAATGGTACACTTTTAGAGCAAAAAATCTCTTTTTTTGTTTTTAAATAACCAACCCACACATTTCTATTTTTAAACTCCACCCCTGTTAATAGTCAATTTACCTGCTTTGTAAATTGATAATAGAAAGTGACTAAAACTGATGTCATTACCAAAACTGTTATCGTTGACAAGCATGTGAACTACAAGCCTGTGCCAGTTTGATTTTAAATTTTTTCAGAAGATAAGAGCTCCTAATTACAATGTTCTATCTAACAAAGGCATTATCTCACATTTGACTGATAAAACCAGGAGTAAGTCTTTTGAGAAAATTCCCTGTCACCATTTTGAAGTATTGTTGTTGTGATTAAAATGGTGAAGATAGCTGTTCCGGTGAAGGAGATCACCACAAAACTGCTGCTGTTAGATCATAGCTCAAATTAGATAAGTCAGCCATGTGAATTTTTGAAGTGGCAGCACTAACTCATAACATAACAATATTTAATTCTGCATTATTTCAGCAGATAAGAAAGTAAATCCTAATGTATCAATCTGACATTTCTGTCATCATTCAATTTCCCGCACATGAAAGTTGTTCAATTTCATGGTCAAAATAATATAAATCACCTAAAAATATGCTTTCATTTTAATATCTCTATATCTACCTATCCATCTGTAAAATGACATACTTATAGTCAAATAAGAAACATTGCAATATCAGTTTTTACTTGGTTTTTGTTTGCCTATATTGCATGAATAAAATCAATCGCATAGTAGGTTTTTTCTGTCTTCCTGCCCCTCAATCTAGGTACAAGCTTTAAGTATCAAAGAATAACATTTACTTACAAATAATTTTTAACCATTCTTTTTATTTTGAACAATATCTCAGTACTTACCTGATACTTTCAGTCCACTCAAACTTCTTGCGAGGTGCCATGATTCTCTTCTTATCTCCCTGCTGGCTGGCTTCCGCATCCTCGTCACTCTCCGTGGAAGCTCCTGTAGCTGATGGGACAACGGCACCATTTTCTGTTGGCTTCTCATCCTTGCTGCTTTCTAGTTTGTCCTTAGCTTCCATAAGCCTGGGGGAAGAACATATGATTAGGTAACTGCCAAATATAAGATTGCCTAATAATGACTGCCAAATATGAGGCTTACAATAATATCCAGACTTCCCATCACAAATTTTCATTCTGTTTTGGATTAAAAATAGTTAACCATATATTACACTTACACCAAATCAATGATCAGTGGTATGCCACAAAACACTATAAGATGGATTAAGCTTCTGGCATAAATTAATTAATATAAGTAATCAATGAAGGCGCTATTCTAACCTGTCATACCTGGCCTGGTGGGCAGCGGCACACTCCGCCTGGTAGCTGTCCATCAGAGCAGGCATGGCGCCATCTATGGCTAAAATGTAAACATGGCATGACTAAAACAAATATACAGGTACTTGGACCATGAAATAATATTGATTACCTGTTCACAGTGGCATCAGAATATAAAGTTTAGCCAGGAGTAAGTGATTCATATCTATTTGTGGTTTCATCATTGTGTCTTAGATATGTCAGTTTACATTGCTAATAATCAAATGCTACAAATTATTAAATCATTGTAATTTACAATACAACTTTTGCAAAGAATGACAATACAGTAATTGTTGACGCATGATTTTGAAATTTACCCCCAGTAGATTAATTTTTTTTTAACATGTAATATTCAATCACATTATGATTATAATAGTAATCAATTCTAAGTATGCCACTGAATGTGCATATTCTACTCCATTCCAGTTGGCCATAACCTCAATAGGTAAATAACTCTGTGATGAGCAGTCCCTACCTTCTTTGAGTTTGTTAATTGGATCCTTTAGTTGGTCATCCTGCGCATTCAGTTTCAGTTTCTTCACCCGTTTTAGCAGAGTTTCCTTGTTACAGGGTAGGAAGGTGGCCATGTGGCTGTAGATCCCTGATCGTTGTGAGCAACTGATTTCCCTGGTGTCTTGTTCAATGCTGGATTGCATATGAAATATGTGAAGGTTAAAGCAGTGCACATTTGCCAATGCTACATAGCTGTCCTTAGAACAATGCATACAATATTATGTTGATTTTTATTCTGCTAGAACAATGAATATATGTTGACTTTTTTCTGCTTCTTTGGGGTAGGTTGGATGCAAGATAATTGGCTTGTTTCATAAATATCAGGTTTTGGTGACAAAAATACACACATTTCTTCTTAAAAACCAATTAAAGAAATGTAGCCCACCCTGCAAGTTAAAATAACCTAAATAACACAAATTTCATAATTTAGTTGAATTAGTAATAGTTTTATTATATTTATCTCTTTAAATCATTTATTTATATATATATATATCCTGTCCCTGCTAATTACATTACTTCTTAAGAAAACTATCTGAACTAACATGTACTTACTCTAATAAAAGTCTATTGACAGCAGCTGAAAAGAATTTACACTTTCCCTCTGTCGATTGTTTTGCTGCCTAGAAATATAAATCACCGTTATAATGCAAGAAACACACTTCTTCGTCTCTATGATCTTAACCTGCCAAATTACAAACAGGGCAGTCTTCATGTGTTACCCGTAAGTTGCCTATGACAAACTTATACTTAGAGTTGCATTTTATTAACCCTCTTACAAATATAATAGGTACTTCCTAATAGACTATTATAAAATGAACTTTATTTTTACAATAAAAAGAAAAATAAATAATGACCACAAAATAACTAACCCAAGATAAGATATTATTAAGCTTTAACTCATTAGAGTACCTTTACAAATGTTTTCTACCTTAAAGTTTTCAAAAACAATTGCACTGACACTTATTATCTTATTATCTTTTCTCACCTTTTTAATGAGTTCTATCTTGTTCTCCAGGTCATCAGACAAGCCTGTGGGGAGTCTGGGGGCTAATTCCCCAGGGACAGCAGGAACCGACCACTGCCCGTCCCCCTGACTGCCCTCCTCTTCCTCAGACTGAGCCAGGGTCAACGACTGACTGATCACTGACTCTATGGTGGAGTCGATCTTCTGTGCCTCTTCTGGGTCTGTCACACCGTTATGGACGCCTGTACTAAAGCTGCCTGTATCGCCCCCTGTATTCCCCTGAGATGTGGGTGAGATCTCATGCTGTTTAAGTAGGTCAGCCACAGAGGGAGCCACCTTCTGTTTCTTTGGACGACTGAAAGTTATAATGCACATCTCTCATATGAATTGACAGTTAAGTTAGAAAAACGGGGCAGACAGGAAAGTAACATTCTGACTCTTCAATAGTTGATGCATAGTAATAAATTGATGAAATGTATAAAAAGGGGTGATTTTGTAAATTTCCAAGTATCTATGTGCCTAAATTGTAAGCTATTATAACTTTTATTTCTTTTATGAGGTAAAAACAAGCATAAAGTAAAATCTTTAGTATTAGGGTATCTCACCCCCTCTCTCTTTTGATCTTTTTCAACAATTCTTCTCCTTTCATTTCTCCTGCTGACTTCTTTCTCTTCTTCTTTTCCTTTATCTCGCCATCTTTTGACTTCCTCTTCTAAAAATGATAAATGAATGTATTTATGAATGAAGCCTAATGTAAATACTAAAATTGCTTTTCTGTTGTATTGTTTTTTAAAAATTGAAAAATATATCAACCCTATAAAAAATCAATGTCATTTTATAAAAACATTTAAGATCATTTTCTATTTTACCTTGGGACCTCTTTTTACAATTCCTCCCTCTCCTTCTTCATCTGATGTAATTCTCTGCAATAATAAAGTTCACAGTTTATCAGTGTGCTTTTATCTTTGCAATACCACATGCAACTTGCACAAAAGACTGACCTGGTTGTGAGCAAGCACAAAAACCTAAATGATATCTAAAAACGTTTGATATAACACTTTACACATCGGTAAAAACTATACATTATTAAACTGTAGTAGAAAAGACAATACTTCCACAAAACTAAGTATATATACTTGTCTTTAACATATAACCAGTTATAATCCATTATCAAACTGTAGTAGAGAAGACAATACTTCCACAAAACAAAGTATATACATGTCTTAAACATATATCCAGTCCTTGGTTTAACAAAAAACAAACAAAAAAATAAAAATTTGAAGTTGAAAAATTATGAAAAATCAGCTCGAGTACCTTAATCTTCTTCCTTTTCTTTTTTGTTACTGCCTTGAGGTCTGCCTCAGATTCGTCCTCCTCCAGGGTTCTGAAGTCCAGCGCCCCCTGGTTGATGTAGAACCCACCAAGCTTTGTGGTCAGGCAAGATGGAACTATCTCATCATACTGAAATCAGAAATTTTTAAATTGCAAATCTGAGTTTTCACTGAGCAGTCAGTGTTTAGATTCAAATGTTGCTGCCAGCATACAATAGATTTTATCTTTTATATTAAATCAATTAACAGTAAAAAAAAGCTTACTGCTTCTGTATTGTCAATGAAAGGGTCATTCTCATCGTAGCCTTCCCCCATGTCTATCAAGTCCTCCAGCCGCTCTTCACGCCTTCGCTTACTGGGCTTGCTTCCCTGGGGAGAACAAACAACAAACAATAAGAAAACAGAAACCATATGACCCTTTTTTGCAATGATGCAAAATTTGAAAATTTAAAGGTTTTTTTTTCTACATAAAAGCTGGCTATACCTTGACTCTACTTTTTAAACAAGGCAGCTAAGCTGTCATATGTACAGACGCTAATAAGAAAAATATTCCAATCAAGCTGATTTGCCCATTTTAAGCTGTATGTCAATGATTCTTGTAAGTTTCACAAGTAACACAGTTTTCTTTTTAAAGCATTTGCATTGGCAATATACAAAAGAGCTTTTTTTATCAATTTTGATACAATATTACAAAATGCTAAACAGCATAATCACCACCAATTTTTAATAATATACTAAAAGTATCATAGATATTCAGAAAAAGACTAGCAAACGTCTTCAAGTCCATGAAGTTCAAAGTCACACCTTGAAAATGTCAATATTTGAAGGATTAAAATTTTATTATTAATGGTATCACTTCTAGAAAAGAGTCCAACTAGGCAACTAGTCCCATCATACTTTTCTGTAAGTTTGAGAATCACAAGCAACATGGTTTCCTTAAAAGGTCATTATAGTTCCCAAAATAGGATTTTCTTCAATTTCGATACAATGTAACATAATACTTAAGAGCATAATCATCACCAATTTTTAATTATGCACTGCAGGTAACATAGCTATTTAGAAAATGTGACTAGTAAAGGTCTTAAGGCCCATGAAATTCCACTTTTCGTTATAACACTGAAAGTGCACAGTGAAGACGACCACAATAACGATAGACGCAGGTGATGGCTATATGTACTGACACAACTGTACGTGTCTGTACATAAAAAAATCAAAATGATAAAAGAAAAAAATGCCAGTACAAAAAAAAAAGTTAATCAAATAGTAAATGACAGGTAATTAAAAATTAAACTACTGAATTTTACAACCATGAGGGCCAAGTGTGCCAATAGTTGTAAAATAAGTGTGTCACATTTCTGGCAGCAAACTGCTTCATATCTACTTCATACAATCAAATGACATTTAAGGTATAAATCAAGGTAGCTGTGAACTTTCTGCAAATTATTGGAATTTAAAAGAAATATTCAGTATCTAAAAAATGCAATCTTTACAATGAAACTTTATACTTAATAATAATAATAATAATAAATAAAAATTAAACTACATACATATTTTTCTTCAAATGACTTTGCCAGAGCCAACATCTTGTCTCTGTCATCCACAGCCAAGGGATCATCTGGGTCCAAAAATGGGTTCGCTTCTTCATTCTCCTTAGCTTCATTCTGTGAAAAAAAAAATCAGTTCAGCTGTTGTACTGTCTTATTCCCAACACTAGTGATGATCGACATAACATAAAATATGAAAAAGTCTAAAATGTGAGTCCCCGCATGTGTGATTACTAATATCTATATTTTGGTACAATTTCAAAGAGCTGGGTTATGTCAAAAGAGAATGGGAAAATCAAAAGCCATAAAAAAAAATGCCCAATAAGATAAATTTGACTAATGCACAATTCCTAACATTTAAGTTTCAACTAAAAAGGTGAATAAGTACACAAAAAATAATTAGCATGATACAATAATCCATAGTTTATACACGATGCATTTTAAAGTTACCAATCATTTAAAGGATAAATTTTTTTTTTGCTTAAAACAGCATCCAATTTTTGTTATCTTTTTTATCCATCTTCCATTTTAAAATTTATGTTCTACCATAGAACTGTTACAATGCAAAATGTTTAGCATTACACAGTGCAAATTTCAATTACAGATGGAAATTAAAAAGCAATATGCATTATGACATAATTGGCCAGTGATAATATAATAAGGAAAGTCCTATAATAAATTTTTAAAATTAAACGTGTGACTTAAGATCAGCTGGGCAAAACTGGAAAAATATAGAGGACTTCAGAAAAAATTTACATTAGTCCCATTAACTGCCCATATCATGAAATTATCTGCAACAAAAATAAAATAAAATAAACAAATAAATAAAATTAAGATAAGACATTCAAATATTCAGCCTCCTATCTTAATATAAGAAAATTTAAAAAAATGTATGTGAAAACATTTTATGAATCTAGAGTGAACTGTATTCCCAAATAGCAATTTTGTCTAAAAAGAAAAAAAAACACACTTTTTAAATTTTCCCGCCACGCCATCCATCAATAGTGATTGACAGCTGTAATCAATCAGCCATGACCTCTGCCGCGCTTTAACAAAAACTCCCACTAACAACGCATCTGCTGAAATCACTAAATAATCCACTTCACTGTCTTCAGTCTACTGATCTATAAATAGAACACGCTCAACGCCGGCTCTTCTGCTCGGCTAAACTTCCCATAATCCTCTGTTACCAATCAAATCGATGTGATCAATAAAATGTAGGTCATGCTGTATCATTAAATCATCGATGAGGTCTCCAGGTAACCCCACTAATGTCTAGTGAATCGTAATCTGACAAGTTGCTTCGCGCAGGTGTCTCGCGCTGCTGCTAGGTAATACAATATGATGACCTCATTAACATAATGCTATCCTGTAAAGATTTGTGTATTTTTATTTCCTAGTCAAAATGTTATGAATTACTTACAAGTATTCCTGAAAATCCATACAAAATTACCACAGTCTGTCTGAGCACTATATACGTCTTTCTAGATATCGTCTTTGCTCTAAGCCGGTGAACCAAAAACACAGCCGTGATAATATTGCATGAAAAGTAATTTTCATCGGAAAAATGTTTTCCTTGTTATCCAGTGAGAAATGCTCAGAATTAGAATCTTGTCACGACAAAACAACATTAAAGCAATATTTGCAAAAAAATATATACGCGCAATGCGCTGTGCAATTTCGACCCCTTGTCTAGGTAAACTCCACAGGCAACATGGCGGCTCATTAATCGGTCGCATTATTGATAGCTTCTGACATATGTGCTTTCTTTCCACCAACCAAACACTGATCTAAATCATAAGATTCCACTAATGTTCGATTTTTGTGATGCCCTACAGTTTTTATCAGGAGTGAACTCCGCTTACGGTCTAGTTTTCCATATAAAAACACGGATGAATTCAGACACCTAGAAAATATGCAAGGAAAAATACTAAAATGGCGTCGCTCCCGGTCAGGCTATTTAACAGCATAAGGGTACACACATACTATCGTCTAGCCGCCATTTGCACGACTGACAAAGGATGTGATCATTTTTATTCACAATTTCTGAAGGCCCCCACCCCTTCCCACGTGAGGGATACCCCCTACAAACATAGTCCACAAACTGCTTTAGTTTGTTTTCAAAACGATTTTCATTAAATACTGGCTGTAGAAGGAGCCTTGATGGACGAAATTATGCAGTTTTTATAACTTACCAATATATTACGAGTAAGTTCGGTGTATGAGAACTCCGGGCAGGTCTTTGAAGTGCTTTTCGTGAGGGTCAAGTTAAATCGAAGCGTTGGGATTTCCTTCTTTTCCTTATTTTTCGACTGAACTGGGCCTACAGCAGTCAGCTGGATCCTCTTCGCTTCTGCCATGGTGCTTTCATTTGCAATCTAGTCATATCTTTTCCGAAAACTGAGATGATTGGATCTCCTATATTAATTTCTCGTACAATTCTGCCGCCATTTTGTGCCTGTCTAGGGACAATGCGCACGCGCGACCTATTTATAGCAACTCGTGCAAAGGAATGTAAATAAAGCCACGCGGTTACAGAGCGAACCATATATTCATAATTTCTTTTGTTATTT